GGCCGACGAGTTGCGGAAGTTCCAGTCCAAGGTATCGGACAAGGGCGACAAGGGCGACAAAACCCGCGGCCGTGGCCGCAGGTCAAGATCATGACGACCTCACTTCGGGCGGCCCCGCATGATCCGCTACCTGCGCGTCCTCCCGCTGCTGCCGCCCGCGGCCTGGCGCTCACGAGCCTGAGCCGAAGCGTTCGCTCTGGAGTTCGCCGTCATGAGCACGAGCGGCAGTGAACCTATGACGTTGTCGAGTCGCTGAATGGCACGTTTGGTCGTGCGGCCCCAGTAGAAGGTCACTGTTTGTCTCTTGGGCAGGCTGAGGGGGTCTCGCACGTGCGACGAGCCGTTCGCCATGCTGGATCACCTCCCTGCTACCCCGCGGCAGCCCATCAGGTGCTGTTCGGCGCGGCCCAGGGGTGCGATCATGTCAACGCTGGGCCTCAAGCCAAGTGCCAGAGGGAGCTTGCCTCCCTGCCCTCGCCGGGCCCAAAGTGCGACCCCTCGGTGTTCCTGGTGGGTGACGCGCTGGATCATTTGGCGCAGTGGCGCGCGTGGCTTCTGCGGAGGACACGCGCCCGGGGCAGTACTGTCAAGCCGCATGTTGACCAGAGTTTTCTGTGTAGACGTGTCAACGCCCAGTTTTCATCATTGACCGCATCGATGCAGGGCTCGCCACGCTGGGCGCGCCTTCTCATGTAATTGTTTGGCATTTCTTCGCCTGGAAGGCTCGCCTCAAGCCGACGCGGCTCATTCTTGACGCTCGTGCAGTTAACGATCTTTTCCAGGCTCCTGAGCACAGCGAGCTGCCCGCGGCAGCGGCGAGGGCCAACGCTCGGTCCGACTCAGGAGAGCAGGCATGCGTGGCCCAGGCCGACGTCGACAATGCGTTGTACAGCATACAGCTGGCACCAGGCATGTCTGAGTTTCTCGTCCTTCCGAAGGTGCACCCTCCCACGTTGCATTCGCTCCGACCTGAGTTCAATATTGATGTGGGTCATGTCTTTGTCTCTCCTCTGTTGCAGGATTCGCTCATGAGATGGGCCTGGCGTTTGTTCTTCTGGCCAAGCGCTCCTCGAGGCGAGCGCGTTAAGGTGCGGCTTCGGCAAGCATCTCTTGCTGCGTGACAAGCAGCAGGTCGGCCCCCTGAGCGAGCCCACGATCGCCGCGCGCGTGGACGACGTGGCCGTCGTCGGGGCCGACAGCGCCAGTTGCGCCCGCATCTGCTCCGACATCGTCGCCGACCTTGAGCAGCACGGGCTGAACTGCAAGGTCGTCGTGGAACAGGCCGCGGAAAAGCACTTCACGGGCTTGGTCATCGAGCGGGACACTGGGCGCGCGGGCGCGTCGCGTGAGCCGCTTTGGCCGGCGCGGCTCGCGCCACAGGACATGTTTCTGCGCGGGGGGCGAGCTGCTGCGCGCTGTCGGCCATTTCACCTGGGCGGCGCTGGTTAGGAAAGGCCTCCTCTCCATCCTTCAGTAAGGCTGCGCCTTCTGCCACAGGTACGGCAGCAAACGGAGCCGGCTGTGGTCACGCGTTCGGCAGGCGCTGTTCATGAGCTCATTTTTCATCGTCCTCAGCTTCGCGGACACGAGGGCGGTCGCCGACCAGGTGTCCTAGCCACTGACGCGTCGGGCGCCGGGGGCAACGGCGACTTTGGAGGCTTCGGAATGGTCGAGCGCGGTGCTTCTGGCGAGCTTGCTGAGAGCACCAGCGGGTGCGCGGAGAAGTGGCTTTTGCCGTGCCTGAGGCCATCACCCTTCGCCAGATGGCCCTGGGGCTGGACGTCCCCGCCGCGGCCGCGCGGCGACACCCCCCAGGGCGGCATAAGCACAAACTTTTTGGAGGTCCGTGGACTTCGAGGGTCAGCACGACACATGGTTAATCTTTGATTATTCGAGAGTTCTTGGATTTTTTTGGGGAGCCAATATCCTTTCATTTCTAATTGTTCTATCCTGAGCCTCTTCCTGGCCACTAGGGGGCCAGGAACAATTAGAAACGAACACGAGTAGAAATGAGCACGATTCGAAATGAACGACGTGTATACCCCCTCTGGCAAAGCCCCCGGCGCGGCTCCCGGCCCGTTCCGGGGGGGGGTCGAGCGCCGACCCAAGAGTGTCCACGCTTCTCCCCGAGCTGTTATCTATGATGCTGCTGTGTTTTTCTGTCCTTCAAGCAGTGGCGAAGCGTCCTGGCTCGCCTATAGGCCTACCAAAGAATGTTCTAATAACCTTTTGTGGTTTCAACGACACGTTCTGAGAACATTTCTGGCTGGGACTGTCTTGTTTTAACTCATACGGTTTATGTTATGAGAGCATCGTTTGTGTTCTTGGAACATCTCTGGGATCTAAAAAGATTTCGTGGTAGGCCATGCTGGGACGGTCGGTCCCTGCTCACATCCTCCACCGTTCCTTCACGCCTGCTTGTCCGCGAACTACGCTCCGGGATGGCCGTGTTGCGTGACCGACGGGATATGTTTCTCTGTTATTGCTATTCATGGTCGCCCCGTCCTGGATCGGGCTGTCCTCCCATTGTCCGCCCTCTCCTTGCCGGTCAGTGTCGTTCTTCCCGGACCTTTTGTCTTTGAGATTTCCCTGTCGCACCACCAGAGGATTACGTAGGGCGGTCTTGGCGTCTCGCCTTGAGACTTTCTCACCTTCAACGATCGTGCAGTTAAGAAGTCCCAGCTGCTACGCGGATGGACGGTGGGCCGATTTCAAAATTGGATTTCCGCCTTGGCGACGCGCACGCCCGTTTCAAGAAATCCAGCAGCTACTCTGGTGAAAGGCGGTTACTTGTCAAACATGTGGTCTGGCTTGACACATCCGCAGGGTCCACCACGATAAAGCATAATTGTGTAACAGCTACATGGCTGGATGTTAGTTTTGTTCAAGAGCATTGTTCCCTTGAGACCGCGTCAGTCTTCATGATCAGACGCGCCAACACTTGCAACAGTTGTGAGGATGTAGGGCAGTTTCTTTTCAAGGCGGGGTTGTCGCTGATCATCTTCTCTGTGGACATTATAGCTAGAAGGACGGGGGGCAGTCCCTTTCAAACCGGACCTGTCGGCTGAATTGAGGGCCCATGGGGCATACGTCATTCAAGCGGGACTGGGTGCAATGAGTTCGTTGTAGGAATTTCTGGATACAAGTTTTGAGACGAGAGGTTATGTTGCAGCCTTGCTGGCACGTCTTGGGTTCAATATTGTCAGTTTTCTTTGCCTCCTCCTCCTCCTTATCCTCCTCCTCCTCCTCCTTCTCCTCCTCTGCCTCCTCCCCATACCTTTTACACTCATCGTCAGATTCGATCCCCTCGATACTGGCGGTGCCCTTCAGACCCCCCCCTGGAACCGCAAAGGATCCCAGACAATTTCATCCCACCCATCCTACGTCATCCCCCCCCCTCTCTCCTTCCTCAACATCCCTCCTCCGTCCCACGTCCCTCAGGAGGAGGGGAGGAGGATCAGGGGAGGAGGGCGGCGGAAGCAGGGATGGGAGGGGAGGAGGGGGGAGGGACGGGAGGACGTCTAGGAAGGAAAGGACGAGAAGGGGGGAGACACAGCCCTGCTTCAAATGGAGAGCACGAGGAGGAGCAGCGGCAGCTCCAGCAGGCGGAGAGGAGGGGTCGCCCCTCTGCCAAGGCGCGTGATCTCTTGGAGAGGAGCCGCCGCGCGGGTGAGAGCGCGCGGGCTCGTCCGAGAGGAGGAGGAGGAGGAGGAGGAGGAGGAGGAGGAGGAGGAGGAGGAGGAGGAGGAGGAGGAGAGGCCACCGATTTTCTGGCAGGAGGAGGAGGCGGAGGAGGAGGAGGAGGAGCAGAAAACCGCTGGCCGTCTCGACATCGAGACGGCCAGCGGTTTTCTGGCCACCTTGACCTCCTCTGGAGAGAGGCCCAGCTTCGGGCCCTGCGGGCCGCCAGGGAACGACTCGGGATGGAGGGGCTGCCCCGGGCAAGGGGTCGAGGCAGGCAAGCAAGGGCCAAGGGTAGGCAAGCAGGGGCAGCGAAGAAGCAATAGCTGCAAGCATGTACACTTCCGACGGTCTGCGCAGATGTCTTGGATCTGCGCTGGCCCCCGTCTGTCGGCGCCACCGGCGCCGCCCCTGGCGCGCGCGGACCTCCTACAATTTACGTTGATGCCTTGATGCCCTTTCGAGTTACTCAATCACAGTCGAGTTTGGTCAGTCGGCTTCAGTCGGGCGTGTCCCTCTGCTGGGGGAACATTCCACATAGTCAAAAAATAATATGGGGACGATGTTTTTTCCTATTTTTGCTCAGTTGGGGGAGGCTTTTTTAGCGTATTTGAAATTGTCCGTCGAAATCCCCCTGTAGGGAGGGGGACACGCCCGCCTGAACAGGAGGCCGACCGCGCAAAATCAAGGGTATCATTGTGTCCTCCGGAGAGGACCAGTTTCGGGTCCCGCGGGCCGCCTGGGAACGGCTCGGGAGGAAGGGCTGGCCCTTTAGGCAGGGGTCGCGAGGTCTAGGGCGCCCGCGTCTCGAGCAAGCCGCGCCGCCGCAACACGGAACGCACTCAACAACTCTTCTAGAAGGCCTTCGGGGTACCCTCCAGGCTTCTCAAGCCCTTCTTCCTCCTCCTTCTCCTTCTCCTCGCCATCCTTTTCCACACCCCCTTCCTCCCCTGCCTGCCAGTCGGGGGGGGCGGCAATTTCAGTTCAATCCACCCATCCCATACGGTGTGGGTTGCGCAGATTCCTGGGCCAGCCATGGCGTGAGTGGAGCAACGCACTTGACCTCGCCGCACACTGCTCATTACTCATTGCTCCCCCGTTCCCCCTCCTCCTCCTCCCCCCTTCATCCCCGCTTCCCCGCTCCCTCCCCCCTGCTCCCCTCTTCTCCTCCTCCTCCTCCTCCTCCTCTTCCTCCTCTTCTTCCGCCCCCTCCCATTTGGCACGGTCGCCCCCTTCCCCCTTGCCCCTACCCGCCTCTCGCGCGCCAGGCGAAGACCTTCAGTAACTTGCTGCTCTCCGACATTGGCGAGGTGACGATCATGGCACAGGCACCCCCTAATGATCCATCTGTCTGCTCCTGCGTCGGCCTCCACCTGCATCTGCCCCCCCCTGATCGTGCTTCTCATCCTCCTCCCCCTCCTCCTCCTTCTCTTCCTCCTCCTTACCTTCGCATCCTTCCTGCTTTCGGTGTGAACCAGAACGATACGAATAAAACACCACGTTGCTTGCTTCACGACGCCCAGGAGAGGGAGGAGCCAGCAGGCGTCTGCCAGCTGAGGTCGGGAGCAGCAGCCCAGGGACGGGACTCGGGCTGGGCGCTGCTTTGAGCAAGCCTGGCCCTAATGCCCACAAGAGGAAGGGCATTCGCGCTGGGGGAGGGGCGCCTAACGAGAGGACCAGATGGCAGGACAGAAAGGTACAGGTCGCCATTGATGGTTTTGTACCATGCAGGCGGTAAACGGGCTTTGCTCGCACGATCCGTCCGGGGCGATACGCACTGTCCCCGGGGAAGGGGTCTGGACTTTTGGGGCCGCGCGTTGAGTAAATCCCATCGCCGGATGGCTTGGACCAAAACCACTGGACCCCCCCGTGGCATCTCGGACCTGAGGCATCCTTGAGGGCCCCTGGGGCCCGAGGTCCGGCAGAGCCGCCCCCTTACCGGGCCCGGGGACGCCAACAGAACTACTCGGGGGCAAGCTGGCCCGGCGCCGAGGGATGATGGCTTTCATAGGAGGCTGCCGGCGGCGGGCCCCTTGCTCGTCCACCTCGGCCGCCTCGAGTGGCCACGATTGGGCACGGCTGCACGGCGGGCGGCCCAGCCGCTCCGCCAGCGCGCGCTCTTCCACGCATCCCACAATTGCCATTGCCGCACGAAGCAGGAAGACGAGGAGAGTTGGGGGAAATATGGGAGGATGGGAGAGGGGTGAGTGGGCGGCGCGGTTGCCGAAATTGTTTGCTGGTTCGACTTTGTTGCGCCGCGCGGGGCGGACATATCCTGCCCCCCTCTCATGCGTGAGCCTCAGTGGCCCGAATATCGGCCACGCGGACGTGACAGCATACGACGACACTTGGGACCGAATGTCGTGACCACGAATGCCGCCACACCCACATCAGCCTTCCTCCCCGTCCTCTGGAGACCCCGAACAATTTACATATTAAGTCGAAGACAGTACCGCTGCGAACTTTGCGCAGCCACGGGCTAAAGCTGCCCGTGAGCGGGGGGGCACGTGCATCTTCTGCATTGCGGACCTCGCATATATATATATATATATATATATAGATATAGAGACGGCATGTCCGCTGGTCTCCCCATCTTCCTCGCGACGTGGCCAAGGCAAGGGAAGCAAACTTTTGAAAATGCGTCGTTGCCCCAACCCGCCTGACCGCCTGCAACTATAAGGCTTGAACTCTGGACCAAGAGCCAAAGCTCGGATAAGTTTGGCAAAGGTGCTTCTCATCTTGTGCGCACTCCCCGAGAAGAGTCTGTCCCCTGGGGCTTTGCCATCTTTCGCTAAAAGAAGGAGGCTGATCAAGCAAGGGTCTTTGGAGATGACGCTCTCAGACCGCTCTCGCCTACGCCGTCCTCCTTTGGTCAGTCCAAGTTTGAAGACTACTTGAGAATGGTCTCGCGCCAGCTGGGCGTCCACGACCTTCAAGCCAAACGCCTCGCCAGTGCGAAGCAAACATTGGTACGACGCGTTTGCGAAAAACGCGAACTCTGCGTCTTGCTGCCCAAGGGCTCCCCCGCATAGTGCACAGATCGCCTCATCCCAAAGTGGGGGCGATCTTGTGGGGGGCTCGAGGGTCTGCCATGTGCCCAGCAGGCTCCAACTGTCTCCTAAATGATGTTTAAGACTCCGCACCGCCGACGTGAGGCCGCTGAGCGTGTCGCCTGCTAAGCCCAAACTGTCTCCCTCATTCCACAAGTGCTCAAGATAATCGCAAACGATTGGATCAAAGTCGCCAGTGGCAGCTGGGACTCGGATGCGCATGCGATCCATCCATGAAAGAAAGAGTCGACTGCTGTGTGTTATATCTTGCTCTAGCTCCCGGTGTCAACTGGTTCTCCCTCAGCGTCCCTAGCCAGGCGCGCCTGTCCCGCCGTCCCGCCCTCAATTGTGCCCTCGCTGCTTTTGGGGCCATCGGGAGGGCGCGTGCGCTGGATTGTCAGCGGACGCTATATACAAAGGCAGGGTACAGGTCAGCGGCCAAAAGCAAGGCGCTGATACGTCGGAGAACAGCCTGCAGTTGGAAGGAGCTCGAACGCCCCTTCACAAGCAGACTCATACACACCTGGGAACCCAGAACATGAGCAAAGCGTCGCCCTAGTCGGGGCCCCTGGCGGGCCCGCCATTTCATGGAGCTGAGCACTGCCTTCATCTCGAGCACGTTAATGTGGTTGCCACCAAGAGGATAAGACAAGAGCACGCGCCAGAATCATCTGTCTGGCGAAATGTCCTTCCGAGGCCACAGCCCTGGGTTGAGGACATTTTGACCTGCCAATCTGACGTCCGAACCTTTGAACATGGCACTGCGGTGAAGCAGGGCGACGGCCTCCTGCTCCATGGCCTCCTTCGTAGGCACCACCCCTTCGCGCGCCAAGGAGGCGGCAAGCTGCTCCTTCGGCAGCACGCCCCAGCAGCAGGCAAAGTCGGGCCTAGCAACGACGTAGTTCTCCTCGTGCAGAAGCGACTCGAGGAGCCAAGCCACGCTGGGCGCATGGAAGCTGTTGCCGATCAACGCACACCTCGTGTCCTCCAGGAGCTTCGCCTTGCCTTTGTCATTCTGCCTTAGAGCCCTTGGGGTGTAGCCCTTGGGGTAGCCCATCATCGACTCGCGCTCGTTGGCAACCAGCGTGCGCAAGGTCCCAGTGCCTGGGGCACGTGCGCCCTTAGAGCGCACACAATTGGCTTCCGTGTATTGCCATGGCGAGTAGCGGTATTGGTCGACCCGCCACCTTTCCACCGTAGCCTCGTCGCACCCGTCCAAGCCTTCCGGATGCGGTGGTGGCGTCCTTCTCTTGGTCGCTCTGCTGAACGAGGCGAAAGGCTGCCCCTCGCACTCTGGTCTCGCAGCCCCTGGCTCTAATTGCGCCGTCGAGGCGGGCCAGAGCGCCTCCACACAGTCGACCATGCCCCACGGCTCGTCCACGAAGTGTGATAAGTGGCACGCTGAGATTCTCCAGTCGCACCAAAAATACTTAGGCCTCCGAACAGGGCCCGCCTTCCCGGGGCAGAGAGCCAGTGGCTGCGTCCCCAGCAGCGCGGTGAACGCCTCCCTGGACTCCTCCGACATGCACTGGATGTTCTCGGTCAGCCGCGCCACCCTGCAGCTTGTGAACGTCTCCTGGATCGCCTGCATAGCCGCCACAACTTGCCCCGACAAACTTGACCTCAGTCCCTGCGGGTCCTGGCATGGGCTTCCCACTGCCACGATGAGCAGTTCGATGCCCCCGAACCTCCTCCTCAAGGGAGCCAGCACGGTGTCGCTGATGAGTCCCACCTGGCCTAACTCGACGACATCCGGCCACTGCGACTTGACGACCCTGATCGCAGCCTCGTCGATCTCGCTGTAAGCGTACATGGCGGGCGTAACGCCCAGGAGGTGGAGCGCCTGCCTTGCCCCCCCGATGCCGCCGCACAGTTCGACGAGGCCTACTTTGTCGAAAGGCCCCCTACTCTGAAGCACGATGTCACGAGCGACGGCGGTAACGCCGTAAGGCGTCAGCCCCCTCGTGGCGCATACCCCGCCGCCGTCTTCGCACGCGTCGGACGCCGTCAAGGTGCTAACGATGGGGGCCCTGAGGTTGAAGGCCGTCAGGGGCAGCACGAACATGCACAGATGCAGCTCGTTTCTGACCAGCGGGCAAAGCTCAACGCTGCCCTTCTGGAGCGCGCGCCTCAGCAACGGCCAAAAGTGCACCAGCAGGCTGGACGCTTCCCTTCTGAACTGGAAGATGTGCGTCCAGTGGCCGCCAAGCACCTGCAGCACCTTGGCCCGACAATGCGAGCGACTCAAAACGAACTGCGTCATGCCCAGGAGCCTGGCCACGCGATCGCCGTCGGGCCCAATGATTCCAGCGTGGCCGTCGATCAAGGCCCCCAGGCGCTTGGCGACCTGCTCGCGGTCACCAGCCTTGTCCGAGGAAGTGGGGATGTGCTCGAGCCTGTACCTCTCCTGCGTTGCCTTGTAGAACACATGTGGCCCGGCGGCACGCCCCGCTTCCAGGTGAACCTGGTTGTAGAACAACTCGGGCATGTCAAAGTCGTCAGCATAGACCTGCCATAGCGCTCGCCTCGAGGCTACCGGGTCGAAGGGGCGGGACGGCCTATTGTCCTACCTCAATTCACGGACAGCTGGTAAGGCCCGCAAAGGCTGGCTGGACCTCATGAGCAGTCTCCGGTGGGGGTGCTGGACCACGCCCATCGCGGACTTCCAGCCCATCGGCAAAGTGGTGGACGCCAGCCACCTCTTCCCGCTGCCCTTCAAACCGAGCTGGTGGGCGTCGTAGCACCAGTCGAAGGCGAACAAAGGCGCCCAGCTAGACCTCAAGCGGAACAAAGAAAAACATCCTTTTAGGTCTAACGTTTAATCAGCTACAGGCTAGTTCCTGCTCGTTCTCCAGGAAGACGGCACGCCACATGCCGAAACGAGGGAGGAGGCGAATGTCTCCTTCCCACAACTCCTGGACACCGTTCGAGGCCGTCAAATTCATGATACAACGCAGAACATCCCGTCCAGCCCATCGGCCGCCCTCTTCGCCGACCACGGTACCCTTAGACACCCCGAAAACACCGTTGAGCAGGTACCCATCGCCAACCTTGATCCACTCGTCTGCCTCGAGGGCCACGCAGAGCCCCCTGGTCAGCAGCTCCTTGGCGATGACCAGGTCCTCACCAGGCTGGATCAGGAGTGCCCCAGCCTTCGGGGGGCGCGCCAAGTCGCTGACGTCCTTCAGGCACAGCTGCGGCTTCTCCGAGAACTCCTTAGTGGGTCCCTCGGCGAACTCCTCCGACGGGATGCTCGCGCAATGCTGTGCGCTGGGGAGCGCTGGCAGCATTTGGGTCCAGGAGAGCCGCTGCGCCCTCTCCACCAGCGAGCCGTCGTAAGCGATCCTGGCGGACTTGAGGACATGATCCCCGTCCAAATCCGGCACTGTCGAGCCCAATTTGATGAAGTACTTGACCTTTCGCAACAACAGCTCGATGGCACGGCACTGTGCTCTGGATGCCGGGGTCGCGGCCACCGCCGAGGCACAGGTGACCCTCCGGCTTGGGTCATACCGTCCATACATCATGTTGAGCCCCAGCAGCGCCAGATTCAACCACGCTCGGTGGCCTGGGCAACCCAAATCGCTAAGAAACTCCCTTGTCACGATGTCCCCGTGCATGGTGTACTCCTCCGCGGAGTCACCGGAAACGGCAAAAGGTCTTTGGACCCGTCGCCGCCCGATATTGCATCGGCCCACCGTACAACATGAGAACGAAAGGATTCATCAAAATTGCCTCCACTCCTCAACAGCTCATCCCAGAGCCTCTCGCCTACTTCCAGCCCGAGACCAGCCCAGCTGCCGCCGGTCACTTCGGGCGCGGAGCGGCGCTCGCCCAGGGCGGGGGGCCTCCGCCTCCGGGCGGCGGAGCTGAGCTGCCTTGGCCCTTGGGGCCTCCCCAGAATCCTCGTGGGCGGCCACTGCGCCGCTTCTTGGCGCCTCCACGGGGGCGCCTCTGGGACGCGGCAGTCGCCGCTCCTCCAGCTGCTCCTGCTGCGGTGCAGGGCGGCTCTGGTCGGCGAAGGGCTCCTGCTGGTCCAGCCGCAGCCAGCGGCTCCTCCACGTTGGAGCCGGCGCCTGCTCCTGCTCCTCCGGCGGGGCGCTGTCCCCCAGGCGGCCGTTTGCCAAGGGCAGGCCACGGCGACCTCTTGTCGGCAGACGGGCTGGGGCCAGTGGGGAGGACGCCTGCCGTCGTCCTCGCCCCGGCCCGACCCCTACCCAGTGTCGGAGCGGCTCCTTCAACTTCTGGTCCTCCCTCTCCTGCCGGACGGCTACCTCCCGCTCGCGATCGGTGAGGTTGGTGACCCTCGATTCTCGATTCGCCGATCACCTCGAGGTGGCGGGCAACCCGCCAGCCATCGCTGTGGGCCACCTCGACGGCACGGAACCGCTGTGCCAGCATGTCCGTTGCCTCGGTGATCCGGCCCGCCAGCAGGTTGTCCAGGGCCAGGGCCAAGGTTTTCAAATTCCCTGGTGTTCCTGAGACCCCGATCGTCGCCAGACGGCAGAAGCACCGCCGTCAAGTACGTGCCCACCAGGGGCCTGATTTGGTGAGGATCGCCGTCGCTGCAATCCATCCTCCCCAGGTAGCCCTGGATCTTCTTGAGGAACTGGGAGAGGAGGGCGCCCAGCTGCCTTCGCGCGACTTCTGCCGCGTGTTCCTGAGAAGACCGCCGGGCACCGCGAAAATCCGACCCCGAATCCGAAGACAGACTCGAACGGCTCGATCTCCCACGTCTCCTCCTCCTCCTGCTGCTGCGCCTGCTGCGGCCATGGGAACCCTCGGCCCTCTCCACGGCGTTGGCCAGCAACTGGTCGGCGATGTTATTCTTGCCCTTGGCCTCGCGAATCTGCTTTCTGAGCTCCTCGGCTCCTCGGCAAACCTGGCGCCTTCCTCCTCGGGGCTCTCAGGGTCGGCATCCATGGCCTGCCGGAGACCAGAGCCTGACCCCTGGCGCTTGTCCCTCTCACCGCGCGGAGGCTCCGCAGCAGCAGGGCCACCATCAGCCGGCTGGCCACGCCTGACGCGGGCAAGGCGAGCCTTCAGATCCGCCACCCGGCTCATGGCCGCGTCCCTCGGCGCCTCCTCAACACCAGCGCCTCCTGCCGCTGCTGCGCCCACGTGGTGACCCCCGGCAGGGTCCACAGCCACCACAAGGGAGCTGGACTTGCCTCCTTCCTGCGCCCAGGACGGGAGCCCTCCAGGCTTGCCCCCGCCTGGCCACAAGCGGAATGAACCGGCATGTAGCGTGGCCGTCCCTCTTGGGCCCTTGGCCTTACATGCTCCCGGATCTACCCGGCAGCAGTGCAGCCATGGCTCGCCTTTCTTCTGCCTCAAGGCCTGGATCTCCTTCGCGAGCTCGTCTGTGGAGGCCGAGTGGAAGACGGTGCTGAAGAACGGCTCCTTCTTGCCATCCTCGCCGCACCACTCCGGCCAATTCCGCTGCGTCTCTTCCGATACTTGGAAGAGGATCGAGCCGCCAGAGAGGACAAGCTCGCAGTAGCGGGCCGTGCCGACCTCGCTGAGCAACTCGTCTAGCTCGGTGCCAGGGCACACCAAGCAGCTGGCTGACCTCAGCGCCGGCTGGCTGGCTCCCGGCCGCATTGCCTGCTGGTGCGTGGGCGAGGCGGCCGGGCGCTTGCGCGCCGCCTTCCGCGCAGGACTGGCAGCCGCAGCAGCCGCTGGTCTCCTCTTGGGGGCCATCCCGCTCAATCACTCACCTGGCCCTTGCTCGGCCTGGCGGGTCTCCGCGAGGACGTCCTCCAGCAGGCGCGCGAGGCCGCGCAGAGCCTCGATCGAGGCCCGCAGCTCGCTCGCGCCCAGCGGCCGCAATTGCCGCCAGAGCTCCAAAGCCCAAGCGGGCAGGCGCGAGAGAAGCGCCATCTGGGACCGGCGCTCCTCACGGGGGGGCCGATCTTGAGGCCGTTTCCGGCCGCCTTTGGGCATGCACGCCCTGGGGAGGCGGTACCGCACTCACCCCAAAATGATGCTGGGCAGGGGATGCGGGTCCGCCTTCACCCCGCGCAGCGAATCGATTGGGACGGCGATTCCGCACTACCCAGAATCCCTGAGCCAGAAGCTCCTTGAGCTCAGCCAGAATCCCCTGGGCCGGCAGAGGCAGGAGGGGTAGCCGCACCGCCGGCCCGGGCGCGCACGCGCACCGCGCGCGCGGGGGGGATCGCAGAGCGGGCTCCTCCTCCTCCTCCTCCTCCTCTTCCTCCTCCTCCTCCTCCTCCTCCTCCCTCCTCCCTCCTCCCTCCGCCCTCCTCCCTCCTCCCTCCTCCCTCCTCCTCCTCCCTCCTCCTCGAGGGCTCCTCTTCCTCCTCCTCCTCCTCCTCCTCCTCCTCCTCCAACACGTCCATCACTTGCACTTCTAGTTCTAGCGCCAAGTCTGAGGGCACAGAGAGGGATTTCGACATCGCCTCCAGCAGTTTCTGCCCGTACATAGTCAGTGTCAGAGCGGTCGGTCGCCGACGTGCCGTGGAAAACGCATTGCGGGTTACTAATGCACTTCCGAGGCTCAGGCGCCCAGCTTCTGACGCGTATTCTCTTCCTTCCTCCTAAGCTGCCGCAGGCCCCGCGGCCCACCTCCCTCCCTGTACCAGGCTCCAAATCGTCAGCTGCCAAAGCGGAGCGTGCTAGGCAATCAGCTGTGTCTCGCGAGAGAATGCGTGACACCTGTGCCTCACTGTTTGGGGATGTCGTCTCCTCGTCGCCTGGCGGGGTGGGCTCGCAAGGTCTGGAGGCGACGTCCCCGCCTCACCCTGAACAGAGCTCTGCACTCCATGACTTTAGTTCCCAGGGGTGGCCCGAAGAGGAAGAGGACCCCTGGGCTGGCGAGAGCAGCTTCGTGGCTCGTGAAAGCGTGCCCGTAATCGCCCCCGAATCGGCGACCGAGCATGCTGGAAGACAGCCCGTGCGTTTAGAACTTGCCAGCTTGGTGGCCCCCCCTCGGCCCCCTGATCTTCCCTTGGAGAGGTCCCAGACCCATCAGCAGGGCACCAACACAGGTAGGTTTCACGACCCCTCGGAGCCCAGCACGGGGACCCATGCTGCTGCTGGTGCTGTCCCCTCCGCCTCGCCTCCCCCCTTTTTGCATTCCGTGCTCATCTTGGCTCGAGCATAGGGCACAAGTTGGTTTTGTTTCGGCGGAGTGCGACTGGAGGGTCGCCAGAGATTCACTCGCATATCATGCGGGGGCGCGACACGTCACCGCCGTGAGCGGGATGTATGCGGCCTGGGTCACCACGCTCGAGGCCACGATATACGATCACCACGGTCAAGTACCCCCGACCGTTGCGAGATGCCGAGCCGGGGGACCGAGCTTCCAGGTCAGGGAAGTTCACATGGCGGAGAAGACTCGGACACAGCCTCTTCACGATCAGGTGTGCTCTTGGTGGGAACGCACACACACACGGTATGCTCGCGTATTCTGAAGCACCGAGAACGAGGCAACGGTCGGCGACAATGTGCAGCTCTTGCTGAGGCGTCGCTCAGGTTGATAGGCGACTATCCCACGGATGTGCACACACTGGTCAGCGACAAATGGGACTGGCAGGTGTGGATCAACGTCATGAGGGAGCCGCTCCACACGTCCCTGGCCACCCTCTCGGAGATGCAGGCAGCCGCCGAGCGCGCGTGCAAACGTGCGCGAGGTCGGGCTCTACATCGGTCTCTCGACGAGTTCAGGTCATGGATGATTTCTGAGACGGGGTCTACCAGTTCTGCACCGTTCCGTCAAAGGAGCGCCTCAGCCAGCTGAGGAATTAGCACTACAAGGCAAGATTTTGTTTCATCCAAAGGATATCATCGATCACAAAGTGGGCAACTGGCACAGGTTATGGTGTAGCAAGCCGCTGGATCACGATAAGTTGTACCGCACCTTCGACAGCATACGTGAAGCGGCGAAAGTCGAGGCCCTGCCATTGTTGTCAGGAGCGGAGATTCAGGCAGCTGCTCGTCAGATGCGTCCTCGCGCAGGCCAGGGGGGCGGATCGGATTTCCCCCCTGGATGTGGAGCGCTTGCCTCCAGAAGGACTTGATGAGCTCGCAGACGTGCTGAACGCGGTGGAGTCATGTCTGACATGGCCTTGGCAGTTGATGCTGGTCATCGGCCGCTTGTTGGCAACAAAGAGTGGCGGTGACAGATCCATCGGCATGATCAGCATGGTGCCCAGGATCTGGTCCTTGGCCAGGGAACCCTGGGTCAAGGACTGGACCGTGGCGTCCCAGCCGCGCTGGGATGCTGCAGTGGCTGGGAACTCCGCCCTCCGCGAATGTTTCTTACGCATACTGGGGGAGGAAGTCCACTCAGCCATGGGGGTTGCTTTTGGCCACGCTCTCATAGACATTCAATCGTTCTACGATAGTATATGTTGGATGGCGCTGGCAACCAAAGCATTATCCCTGGGCGTTCCTCCTGTCATTTTGTTTCTCGAACTCCAGTTGCGCGTCGGACCCCGAGTCCTCGCCCAACAAGAATGTTTCTCGGAAGCGTTTCAGCCCACGGCAAGTGTGATCCAGGGGCTGCGCAGTGGCACACGGCTTGCCAGATGTATGACATACTATATTCTAGATGCCGTCACCAAGGGTAGCCCGATGGTTGACATGCGATTATGGATAGACGACCTGTCCCAGTACGTCACGGGCTCGAGGACGTTTGTTCAGAAGCGTTTACTGCAGGTCATCACTCACACCAATAGTGTTATGGCCGAGGACGGCTTGAGGATCGCGGCTAAAAGTGTCATGCTTTGCTCTCATCACCGTGGTGCAAAGGAGATCTCAGCCAAGCTTCAGAGGAGGAACATCACCATCCTTCCTGTATTGCAGGCTGGATACCTAGGAGTGGATTCTGGAGCAGGTCGTCATGCCAGGAGCACAGCCAGGAAAGCGGGTCGCGAAAGCATCGGGCATGCACGCGAAGATCAGACGTTTCGCTCATGCAGCCCGACGCTACCGGCCAGCACTACGTCTGGAAAAGGCAGGTGCGCAGCCAGCTGGGCACTACGGACACCAGCTCTACGGTGTCTTCGGCAGCAGCATGCTGGGGATGCGCAGGAGACTGGCCCATGTGGCTTGTGCAGCGCGGAGGGGGAGGTGCCTCACTTCGGTCCTCGACCTCCGCTGCCCAGGGCACGACCCAGGGTATGCGCTGCCGCGCGCCTGCTTGCAGCTTTGGCTCACGTCGTGGGTCAACGCACCGCGGATCCAAGCTGGAGTCCGCGCGGTCTGGAGCAAGACGGTCGCCAAGCTCAAGGGCTTAGCGATCCAGGAGCGCTCCAGGCACGTGCGGGGGCCCATGAGCGCAGTCATCTGCTACCTCTTGCAGTGCGACTTGGACCCAGTGAGCCCGACTGAGCGGGGTGCCGAGCAGGCTGGCACTGAGGGCCGAGAGGCCTTCATCTTTGATCAGCTGCAGCCCCGCGATGACGTCACTCCACTTCTTGATGAGTACGAATGTTCTGTGCGTTCTCAGCAGTGGCGAGTAGCGTCGTCTCACTTCTGCGGGGCTGGGCTGGAGCATGGTGCGGACAACGCATCTTGCAGGAAGCTCCTGCTCTCCCTGGAGAAGGCTGAGCACGGCCATCAGTTGGCCGAGATGATGATGTGTGTGGCGGTCGGCGGGACCTGGCCCAGGCAGCGCATAGCGGACGAGGTCGGCGGTGAGGTCGACGTCCTCTGCCCGCGCTGCCGAGAGGCCCCCGAGACGGCCTTCCACCGTGCGTGGGGGTGCCCATGCAACACAGGCTCGATTGCATTTTCAGCCTCAGAGTCGCTAGCAGCGCAGGCATATAGCCAGCACGAGGCGGACGCCTGCTTCTGGCTGAGAGGCATCATCCCGTCGACCTTGGAACCCCCCCCCCCCCTCCCCCCCGCCCCCCCCCCCCCCCCCCCCCTCCCTCCCCCCCCCCCCCCCCCCCCCCCCCCCCCCCCCCCCCCCCCCCCCTCGGATTTTCAGTGGAGTTTAAGCGGCGCTGTCGAGCTCAATGATCTCACTTTAGGGCACGGTACCCCTCGCTCGCCTCTCTTCGTCTTCGGGGATGCGAGCGGAGGGGCCGACTCTCGAGACGAGCGACTCCGTCGTATAGGCATCGGTCTAGTTAGCATCAGTTGTTTTGAGCCGTTTCAGGTGTCTGTTTCCCTTCGGACCCCGCTCCCTGGCCCCAGGCAGTCCGTTCCTATGGGGTGAGCTGACGGCCCTCTGGGCGGCCATTTATGTTAGTTCGGGTTTTCTTGTCTTCGTCACGGACAACCAAGCTGTGATGGACGGGTTGCACGCCCGCCTCTTCCTCCACCCCCAAGGCCCCAACCAGGATCTTTGGAGGTCAATTAGTGCGTTGCAGCACCGTCGTGATTTCTCAGACATTGTCGTGCTGCAAGTAGCTTCTCACCAGTCAGGAGCTGTTCTGGAGGCCTCAGGCACGCCGCTGTGGCTTGCACAGGGCAACGAGGCCGCCGACGAAGTGGCGGGCATCGCTGCTCAAGAGGCCCGTGTCCCCCAGGCCTCCCGTGCGCGCGTGGCCCAAGCGGAGCACAAGGCCAGCTTGGTGCGCGCTCGCCTGCTGCGGGCCAACCTCGAAGCCGCTGCCGTGGAAAAGAGAATCGCTGTTAGGAAAAAGGACCGACGGCCTCCACCGTCTGCTGCTTCTCTCGCCTTCTTCGGGTCCCAGCATGTGTTTTCACCTGGCGGTATGAGCTGTACCAGATGCCACAGTTGTTCGTCCAAGGCGTGCCTGACCGAATGGAGAAAAACTCAGTGCATTGAATTACAGACTCAGTCTAATTCGTCGGTGTTGAGGCTTCCGAGGGGTCATTCTGTTCACATAGGGGGAGGTTTCACTCACCCGTCCCACGAGCTTCTCTTCCACCCTGTTTTGAAGCTTTGGTTTTGCAGCTCGTGCGGTTGTTATGCCAGTTCCCAGCTTCGGCCTAATCTGGCCAAGCCTTGTTCCGTGTCCCCCGATTCAGAGGGACCCAGGAGGACCATCACGCCCACAGGGCAGGTGTACCTGGACAGAATTCGTAAGGGGCTGTGGCCCAAGTATAAGTAGCCTAATTAAACCCGAGCGGTGGCTTGGGTGGTGGTTAAGTCATGTTACTTCGCTTCGCGATAAGTCCATTCCATTACATTCCTCCTCCTCCTCCTCCTCCTCCTCCTCCTCCTCCTCCCCGGGCCGGCGAGGCGATGGATCAGCTGGGCTCCGTGGCAGAGGCGGGCGGCGCCGCCGCTCCCCCACGGGCGGCGTTGGAGGGGGGGTCGGGGCTCGGGGTGGGCGTTTCGTATTCGAGGGTCGAATCGGATATTGCCGGGACCTCGGGTACCTAACAGGCGCCCGCGGCAAGTGATCGGGCTCCCAGGCTCCCAAAAATGGAGCAGCATCACTCGACCAGCTCTGTCGTATTGTAGCTTGTGTTTCTTCGGGGGGGCGGCAATCCTGGCGGATAGGGGTGGGGGGCGTCCCCAGGTTCTACTAATCCCAGTCCTGCCGACCGCCGATCGTAGTTTTCGGGTGTTTTCGTTGGCTCTCAGCAGCCTTCCAGCCTCGGGGTGCGTTCCAGCAGCTGCGCCTCGCCGAGTGGGGTGCCCAGATCCTCCCGCACGGCCGCCAGAGGCCCGAGGTATGGCCAGGAAGTTCCCAGGCGCATTTTTAGCTGGGGACTGACTCAGCGGGAACGCATCGACCCTCAATCGCCCATGCACCGCCGATAGGGGCCCGATGGCCCACGCCGCCCAGGAACGCGCGGATTCGCTATCAGGAGCCTATCGCCGATCAGTCGACGATGTATCGCCGATTTCAGGTCGATGCTTCCAACTCCCCTCGGCCAGTCCCCCCCGTAGCGTTGCCCCCCCCACTTCTGCAAACATCCCCGCGTCCGCCCGCGCAGCGTGGATCCCCGCTCGTCCGCTCGCTCAGCCTCGCCGCGCCCGCGCGCGAAGCACGGCACGCACCGAGTCGAATGCGACACCGAGGTCTCAGTCGGAGGTATTCGTTCTTCCCCTCAGACTCAGTTGAGCGACGGAGGCAAAAACGGAGTGGGCTGCGCCGACATTGGCGCGCAAGTTGCTCGCGTAAGGTCGCGGGTAATCGCCCTCGCTTCCAGCGTAGCTTGCCGCTCTGGCGGCCCGCGTAAGCCTCCGCGTAAGGCAGCTGTGCCATCTCGCGCAAAGTCAGTTGTGATTGCCGCCCAATTGCACTAGGATGCAACTCATGGGAGGTACATCCAGCATCGGCGCTGGTACAGTCGGGTTCCATCAGTAGGTCGGCCCTGTGAAATCAAGGGTGCTCTTGTGTCCTGTGCATCGCGCGTCGTGTCCTCTGCGGCCGAAGGGCAGGGTACCCTCGCGTCCTGTGGTTTCCGCGGGTGTCCTTGGCTTGGCCCGCGGCGGTCTGAGCGCGTCGCGCCGGCGGGAGGTCGCGGCCCCTGTCTAGGGTACCCTGGCGTCCTCTCGGATTTGGGGGCTCATGTGGCTTCAAGGTATGATTATGGTTTCAGCGCCGCGCCGCTGGCGCCGCGGCGAAGGGTCTATCTGCGATGTCCTCTGAGTTCGGGCGCGCCGCTTGTGAACCAACGACGCGTTGATTCGAGGTCGCCCCCTCGCGGCAGGGTACCCTTGTGTCCTGTACTTGCGCAGCCCTGCAAGTTCATTCATCGTCGCATTAGGGGAGAGGTCGCGGGGCGCGCAGAGGGTACCCAGCCGTCCTCTCGTTTGCGACGTCCGCGGCCGCGTCCTGGTTCTCTCGTCCTCTGCCATGGCGACAGGTCGCGCGATCGCCCCCGAAGGTGGGCAGGCGCGGGCGACACGCCACGCAAGATTTCTCACGCGGCGAGCGGCGCGGCCTGTCGGATACCCTTGGCGTCCTGTCTGGCGTGCGCCGCCCGTCGCCGGGTTGCGGGTCGGCCGTGGGTAACCGCGGTCGCGGCCTCGGCAGGGTACCCTTGTGTCCTGTGGTTTTGGAGGCCATGTTGCCGTCGGAAGAGTCTTGTGTCCTGTCGCGCGTCCTGTGCGCAATAACCCGCCTGTATATCCGTGGTCGAATACTGGCCTAGTCTGTGATGATCCCGTCTGATCTGGCTTCATCTGGCTGGACCTTGGGCTAAGGTTGGGATAATCCGTCTCAGTAGCCCGTCATTTGGCTTCATCTGGCTTCTACCGGAGACTTCCGAGAAGTTGTCTCTGAAAGTGGTCAATTCGGCGCTGTCCACGCACCTACTCGCTGAAAGATCACTTGTTGAGGTTGCATGCTTGTTTTTGGCTGTCCGCATTATCTTCAGGATTGTCTGCGGCATGGATTGGTCATCTCTTGCTGCGCCATGCCCCATGGCGCACTGCAGTCAACCACCTGCTTACGGATGGATTGTTGTTCAAAGGGTGCCTCTGCTGCTTTCTGTTGGCCTGAGTTTGTTCTGACATCTGAGAACGTCTAAGGGCTTTGCATGGGCGTCCAATTTGCCTTGCGCCCCCACCTGTGGCATTCGAACATGCGTTTCAGTGCAATCATGGCGTCCGCAAGTGGCCGCTGGCAGGCCACGACCACGGTCATCGTCAGCGAAGCCGAGAACGTGTCCAGCAGCGAGGCCCTGCAGCGCAAGGGGGTACGGGTGACTTGGCTGACCCCGAGAGACACCAACCGGATTGCCAAGGACGTTGGAACCAGGGCCGCCTGGGGCTCAGGAGAGGCCCCTCGTCTTCCGGACCGGAAGACTTGGGTGGGAGAGCCCGTTCGACGCCGAGGCTCGCCGTGACCAGGAGCGCCCCTGCGTTCTCCAAGGCTGGACCCAGACGGTGATTTGGCGGTCTCGTGGGCCGTTTTCGTTTCGACTTCGTTTTGCGGTAAGGGCGGATTGAAGACAGAACGAGGGAAAACGGAAACAAAACGAAGACGGAAAACACCGCTTGGGTTCGGCGTTCTCTACCCCGTTCGCCGTGCCGATCGCTGACGGGCCCCGCGTGGGCCCGGGATGTCGGTGTGCACACGCCTCGCTTTGGCCAGCGCGAGGGTGCACAGCCCCGAGTGATCGGGGCGGGGGTTATGATGTTCCAACCTAGTTTAGCCTTGACCGCCAGGAAGATTTTCGAGCACCGAAACAGTACCCAAAAAAGTCGAGGGTGTTCACGTGTCGGGCCCTGGGAGACACTCGTCCGACACTGCTTCGACACTGTTTCGGCACTTTTCCGGGGGCTCGGAATTGTTTCTGGGATGCGGTCCTTAGTACGATGGGAGCAACATAAGGCGGGGGGTGGTTCGGCTCTCTCCCGCGCTGCACCAGAGATGGGCGTTCGTGTTGGTGGACCTTCGTGGGGCCCACCTGCAGGATCTGTTCGACTCAGGTTCGACTCGAGCTCGACTCAAGCTCGAGTCGAGCTCGACTCGAGCTCGACTCGAGTCGACGCACGTTCGACGAAGCATCGACGTATGGACGTATGGGTTGAGCGAGTGGCTACAGGAAGGTCCCCAGAGCGAGCATCTAGTCAGAGCTTTCCGCGAGTGCACGATGGCACTGTGCCCCAGCTCTCCTGGAGCACATTCTGTCATGTGCACGTGCTGTCCAGTGCCTGATTGGTACAAGAGTTATCTTGGACCAGTGTTTCCAGAGTTTTCTCTGGGACCCCCAAACGGTGCGGTGACCACACCATGTGGTGAGTCAATGGGGATCCGGTGTGACCGCACTGTTTTGAGACTTGGGTCGTTTCCGAGGATGGCTCGGGCGACTGGGGCCTCCAACGATGCCGCAAAACCGTACCGGGACGGACCGTGCGGTGCGGTCTTCCTGGATTTCGAGTTCACCGCACGGTCTTTTACCGCAATGCTTCGGGACCCCCATGCAAGGCCGTATTCAGACCAGGGCTGCCTGGACAGGGTCCCCAGACGGGGCTGCCAGGAGAGGAGGGCGTATGCATCCACGGTGAGTCTAGTCAGGACAGGCGTCGGCGTATAGTGGTTGGCGTCCTCCTATGATTGGACGCTGAACGTGGAACATATACGGCGACCACTCGGAGGTGGATAGATCTCCTACCCTGACACGTCGATTAAGGAATTGGCCGTTTTCGGTTCGCGAGAGGGCGTCGCGGCCGTCATGTTGGCGGGTCCAGGTCCGTCGGTTTCGGTCCCGGGCCGTTTTCACCAAGGGGAGGTTTACTAAAGGGAGGTTTGTCCGCCGCCGAACCAAGGGGGGGGTGATGACTCAGGTGGGGATCTCATGGCGGGGGCAGTGAGAATTGCAGGTAGTTCATGGCCCCCTTTGTTCGTTGTTCAATACGTTCCTTGGCCTCCTCCTGGGCCGCGCACGGGCCTCGGGACATGATTTGCGAGCCCCGAGATTGGAGTCTGCTCGTTTTGTCTTCGCGTCCTCGCCCCCTCTTGGACGCCCCCCTCTTGGACGCCCCCGAGATTGGAGTCTGCTCGTTTTCTCTTCGCGTCCTCGCCCCCTCTTCGGACAGGCAGGCGATCGCCTGCTGAGGCCTCGCAGCAACGGGGGGGGCAGATGCCCACGTGCTCTCTGCTTTCTTCCACGCCCCTTGCTCTCCTGGCCCTCCCCACTCGAGGCTGGGATGTATTCACATCCACCGCGATGGGGGGGCCGATCTTCCTGGGCCTCGGGTGGCGGTGTATCTTCGGAAATTGGAGCCTATACGTTACCAGTGGCGGGCCGTCTTCCAATCCCAGGACTTTTTGAGGGTTGGGGGCGACGTCGGGGTGGAGTAGTGTATGTTTGTTCCCCCGTTTTCCCAGGAAACATTGGAACATGTGTACACCAGGGTTTCGTATACACCAGGCTCCGCTTTCTTGCGCAAAGGTCCGTGCAGGGCCGCACAACAACGTCGGTTAGAGCGTGGTTCCCTATATCTGGATATGCTCTGGGCGCTTGGGGCGCGAAGGTGCCCTTGTCCACCGCCCCCCTGGGGTCCCTGGACATCGGTTCCCGCAGCTGGTGCTTGTGTGGTTTGGTGGCGCGCGCAAGGGGATGGCGCGAGAACGTCGGCCTCGGAACAATGTAGGATGATTTCTAAGGTTAGCTTCTTGCAAGCCATCTTGGCTTCTCAGAAGCCTTTTTTACACCACCACCCATGCGCTTCTAGGAAGGCCCCTGCTTTCTGAGAAGCACCCCCCGCCTTCTAAGGAATCCGTCACCCTCGCGCCGCCCCCTGCATCGCCCCGCCGAGAATAAATTCCCACTTCGCACTCGTCAACTCTCCCTCTTCTCCTCCTTCTCCTTCTCCTCCTCCATCCCTTTTCCCAGTAATTCCTTTCTGTCGCAGCCCGAGGCGTGTCGGTATGGCGGGCCAGGCGTTTCGCCTGAGATTTCCTCACCATTTATGTTAATGAGACTTGAACTTTGGAGCAGTTTCGAGGGTGGAGGGCGACCAGAGTCGAACATGTAGCTCTCACTTCAACGCTGCGCGCATTCGTCGTAACAGTTTGCAGTAGAGGGCGGCCCGTTTTCAGCAGGTGGCTCTCGCTTGAGCGCCGCGCACATTGACCTTAGGAGTTTGGAGCAGTTTCAATGGTACAGCGCGGCTCCTTTTCAAAATGTGGCTTTCGCTCCGGCGCCACGCACATCCGTCTCCGCAGGTTTGCAGCAGTTTCAAGGATGGAGGGCAACCCGTTTTCAACCTGTGTCTCTGGCTTGAGCCCCACGCACATTCGTGTTGATACACCTGTAGCAACTTCAAGGGATGGAGGGCTGTTCCAGTTCAACATGTGCCTCTCGCCTGAGCGCCCCGAGCATTCGTGTTAGTACACTTGTTGCAGCTTCAAGGATGGATGGCTGCTGCTTCAGAACATATGGCTCTGACTTGAACGCCGCGCACTTTCGTTTTAAAAAGGTTGCAGCAGTTCCAGGGATTCGCACACTTAGAATTTAGGAACGGCTAGTTTTCACGCTTCGCGTATCCCCACTTGCCCGTTCAGAAGCCCTGCCCATGAGAGCTGACGGGAAAAGGGACGAAGAGACACATCTAGGGAAACAAAGCGAGCAACAAGGGTGAACCGAGAGATCTCTGGGAGCAAGGTGGTGGCTGTGGAAGGCCTCTTCGGGCCATCCATGGGGGCCGCGTGGGGGCAACGGGAAGAGGAGGAGGAGGAGCAGGAGGAGGATGAGGACGAGGAGGAATGGGAGGACGAGGACGCGGATGAGGACGAGGATCGGCGGCGGGCCCAGGGGGGAAATGAGAAGGAGCAGGCCTTCTCCGAAGGCCGCGGGACTTCTTAGAAGTCCGGGGGACTTCTGAGAGGTCTCCTTAGCCTATTTCGAACACAGACTGAACTTCTCAGAAGCCCTCTCAGAAGTCCGGAAACTTCTCAGAAGCCTCGGAAGTCCCGCCCCTTCTCATTTCCCCCCCGCGCCCGCCGCCGAGAGGACGAGGAAGACGAGGACTAGGACGAGGACGACGCGGACGAGGACTCATGGAACCATCTAGAGATATTCTTGCGGCTGCTGCTGCTGCTGGTGCTTTCTGGGAGTTTGGGGGGCCCTCTTGGAACCTTCTTGGTAACCCTGGAAGGCTTCTTGGGATCATCTTGGAGGGCATGGATTACATGATGGGGGGGTCCCAACTCAGCTCCCCCCTCAGGAGCCCGCAAACCGCTTCTTGGGGCTCTCTTGGAGCGCTCTTGGGCGCCCTTGGAGCGGTCTTGGGGCCGTTTGGAACGTCTTGGGAGCCATCTTGAGCCAGCTTGGGCTATCTCAGCCATCTTGGAGGTCATCTTGGGCTCGCTGAGGCCGCTCGGGGCCCTCTTGGAGCCATTACGGGACCCTATTGGGGCTCTTTTGGGGCTCTTTTGGGAGCCGGACCCCTCTTGGGGCCTTCTTGGACCATATTGGGGCCACCTTGAGGCCTCCAAAGCGCATCGGAAGCCAAACGGCGAGAAGGCAAACATCTCCTCATCGAGGTCGCCCCCTCGGGGGCCACGATCCTCGTGAGGGGTGTCAAAAGTTGGCCCTCCCAGGGGCCGACAGAGGTCCTTCTGGCCACCCGCGACCGCCGCCGAAAAAGGCCAGGGGAGGGGTAAAGCCCTCCCCGAAGGGGACAAGGGGCTTTGTGGAAGAGGAAAGACATAATACCGTTAGACCACCTGCGCCCAGAGGGCCGGTGGGATTTGGCACGATTCAGGAGTGTCAGGACGCAAGAGCAGGCACGGACTCGGCCTGGAGGAGGAGGAGGAGGAGGAGGAGGAGGAGGAGGAGGAGGAGGAGGAGGAGGAGGAGGAGGAAGAGGGAGGAGGAGGAGGAGGAGGAGGAGGAGGAGGAGGCAGGAGGCAGGAGGCAGGAGGAGGAGGAGGAGGAGGAAGAGGAGAGGAGGAGGAGGAGGAGGAGGAGGAGGAGGAGGAGGAGGAGGAGGAGGAGGAGGAGGAGGAGGAGGAGGAGGGAGGAGAGGAGGGAGGAGGAGGAGGAGGAGGAGGAGGAGGCGGAGGAGGAGGAGGAGGAGGAGGAGGAGGAGGGAGGAGGGAGGAGGAGGAGGGGAGGGAGGAGGGAGGAGGAGGGAGGAGGGAGGAGGAGGAGGGGAGGGAGGAGGAGGAGGAGGAGGAGGAGGAGGAGGAGGAGGAGGAGGAGGAGGAGGAGGAGGAGGGAGGAGGAGGAGGAGGAGGAGGAGGAGGAGGAGGAGGAGGAGGAGGAGGAGGAGGAGGAGGAGGAGGAGGAGGAGGAGGAGGAGGAGGGAGGAGGAGGAGGAGGAGGGAGGGGGAGGAGGAGGAGGAGGAGGAGGAGGAGGAGGAGGAGGAGGAGGAGGAGGAGGAGGAGGAGGAGGAGGGAGGAGAAGGAGGAGGAGGAGGAGGACCAGGAGGAGGGGGACCTTGGCCACTCTGCTCTGTGCGCTGGCCTCCCCCACAAGGCAAGGCGAGGAGGGAGGCACGCTCGTGGTTCCAAAATTCCCTCTCGGGTTGACGAGGGCGAGGGGAAGAAACGGGCGGCGACGAGGAGGGACTCATAGCCTCGTCCATGCGATTCCCGTGTTTTTGTTGTCCGATCCGATGGGATATCATGTTCGCCTCCGATGCGTGTTCAGTTCAGCTTCAGAGGGGGCGAAGATGGAGGGGGGGAATAGGACAGCTCTTTCCAGTGGCGGGCGGCAGGGAGCATGCCATACCCCGCAGTGCCGAGCCCGAAGCTGGAGCGCCTCCCTGTGCCCGTGATCCTCGCCCTGCCCCTTCCTCCCACTGGGCATGCACTGCGGTCTCACCAGCCGTCTCGCGTTTCGGGTCCGAGCCCAGCTGCGTCCACGGCAGGCGCCTCAGCTCGGGCATACAGGCCAGGTGGTTGCTGACCTCGACTGGCGTCCCCCCTTCCCCCTCCGCCTCCCGCCTCCCGTTCCACATCGTTCCCGTCCTCTTCCCTCCCCCCAACCCTACGTCGTCGTCGTCGTCGTCGTCGTCGTCGTCGCCGTCGTCGTCGTCGTCGTCGTCGTCGTCGTCGTCGTCCTCGTCGTCGTCGTCGTCTTCGTCGTCGTCGTCGTCGCCCGCCTTCTCCTCCTGCTCCCCCTCTCGTGCCCTCCCCCCGCTGCCTCATCGGCTCCTCTTCAGAACCCCGCACCGGGGGGCCTCTTTTCCTCTTCGCACCGCCCTCGCTGCCCTTCTCGCTGCCCTTCTCTCCTGGCCTCCTCCCCCCCTCCCCAGGGGCAGCGTGGGGGGGGGGGGGGGGCGGAGCCCGAGCGCCTGCCCAGGCCCGGGACAGGGCGGTGTCGCCGGCGGAGGCATCTCGCCGATCGGTCGGCGATGTCTCGCCGATGTCGGGTCGGCGTTTTCCCCCCTCTGCGCCGTTCCCACCCTTGTCTCGACTAGACGTAAGAGTGACCCTTCGCCGGAGTGACCTTGGGTGCAGGCCCACTGGGCGCCCCCGATCGCCGAGTGCGGTGCGATAGTAGCGTATTGCGTGTGTTTGTTGGCCCCCCCGCGGCCCCGAAAAAGCCGCGCACCAAAGGTCACTCTTACCCAGGATCACTCTTACGTGTAGCCGACTTTACCTCCGTCCCCCACTACTTCGATGCTCTTAACAGGAATCGTGAATCCTGGAAGCCTGATCCTCGAGGTATGGATGAGACCCGATCATTGCAATAAAAAACCGAACCTGTCGTTGAATGCACGGTGACCTAAGAGCGAACGGGAGCCTGAGGCAAACAGAAGGCAACCATACATTCGCATACTCCCTATTTCTGCCTCCCACCCCAGACTTCGAACAGATTGCCTCCTTTTTTATCCGCCGCCCCCCAGAGGTCTCGATCACTTCCCTAGGGGGCAGTTTTCCGTCCGAGATCCATGTGTTGGTGGCTCTGGGCTGCAAGTTCGGTCCCCAGGGGCAGTCGCGAAGGAACAACCCAGGAACTCAAGAGTCCAACCCGCCGTTCGAAGTCTGGGTCCTCCTCCCCCACGTCGTCTCCTCTTGCCTCGCCGCCGTGCCTCGGCCCCCCTCTTTGGAGGCGCGGAGAAGGGGGCATGGAGGGTGTGGCCTGGGCCCTGAGCCCTTCCCTCGGCCCCCCGTTGCGCTCTCGTGTTCTTCAGCCACAGGGCGGCCCGCCTGTTTTTTTGTTGGACAAGCTGAGGGACGCAAACATCCCAAGCAAATCACACTGGCCAAAAGAACTTCGGCACCTCATACGGCAGCTATCATGCTTGAGCTCAGGGATAGCCCTTACCCGCCCACGAGGTCTGGAGAAGGACAACGACGAGGACACGAGACCAGAGGGGGAAACGGATGACTAGTCGACACGGGGGAACGAACGACGCGGCGACATAACTGCGACAAACAAGTCAAACAAACGCATCCCCTGGCCCCTGCCCCCCCCGCCCGCAGTTGCTCGACGTCGTGGCCACCGTGTCGGGCGCCGGCGAGCCATTCGCCACGATGGCCGCTGTGACCGCGGTGGCTGCCGCGAAGGGGAAGAGCAAGGGGACCTCCGCGGACCACTCGTTTTCACAGAACCTGATGAACACCATGCAGGCTCGGCTCAGAGGAGGAGTATTTATCGGCTCCGTTGCTCGTCCCAGAGAGACCAGTCTGGCTGGATGTCTGGTTGAATTTAGTCTGGCTGGGACGCAAGGTCAACGCTCAGTGCGCAATCTCACATGTAAAGTTATGTTGCGTTGGCGGTGAGGATATCTCATAGGTATGCTGCCCGCACGTCCACACGTCCCTGTGACCACGATTGGTTTCTGGAACAAACATGCACGGGGAATGTATGCCGCGTCAGCGTCGCGACAACATTCGCATCCACATTCCCTGAATCACGTTTCGACGGTGGCATCGCGATTGTCGCTGTGCCCTCGAGGTAGGCACGCCTGCATCAACAGACGCATCAAGCATTAAAGTTGGAGGCTGTTTCTTATGCGACAGTTCATGCCAGCCGACTAGAGCTGCCAATGTAAGCATTGCTTGGGCCATGTCACTGTGGTTGCCCACGGGCCTCCTGTGTGACCACTCCTCGTGTGTGACTACTATTGTTGTGTGACCACTTTTTGGGTTGTGGCCACCACTGGGGGGGGGGTGACCACTATTGGGGTGTGACCGCTATTGGGGTGTGACCACTATCGCCGCGTGACCAGTACTTTCGGGAGCCCCATCGGCATCTGTCTTGGCGATGAGAATTTGCGCGCAAGAGTGGCCCCTGGTTGTTTGCATTGTCTTTGCGCACGGGACTTGTGCTCCAAAGTTGAGTGGGCACATCAGTGGGCACCGACGACCTCACTCTCGGGTCTCTCCTCCTGGTCTTTCCTTGCGCCCTTCCCCTCGTCCTGTTTTCCCTCGCCCTCTGCTGGCTTGTAATTGGCTGAATGGGGGCTCAAGCAGCCCTCACGTTCAAATAACCAAAGTTCGGGACAAGTTTCAGGTCAATGCTTTTACAGAGTTCAAGTTCGACGTTGCTGACATTCGGAAGTTCAGAGAAAGTGTGGGTAAAGTCCGGCGGCGAAGAAGTTCCCTAAACCCGTATCGCGTTTGAATGTTATTTATCATCTTTAGTTGGTTTCTAATGTTTCCCATGCTTCCCCAAACGTTCCCAAGATTTTCCAAACTGTTGAACTTTGCTCAGACGCGTTTAGAACTTGTTCGAACTGTTTACACATTCTGTCCAAACATGTGAGCGTTTCCGAACTCCCACTGGACTTTTGAACGTTTGAACTCCTGCGTTCCTTGTATTTCGAGCTCGAGCTTCTAACTTTGCGCCCGCCTGAACCAACACCCAAACTTGTTTGTTTTCCAAGGGTGACCGTCTGTGCCCCTCTCAGCCACTTGCAACCCTGGGGCGTTCCCGGCGCCCTTCCCAAAGCCACTCCCCACGCCAAGTTCGAATCCCAGCCCGACGACTCTTCCGGGCAAGCCAGCGCCTCACCCGACGTCTCCCAGGGGGTGGGGCTGGAGGTGAGGAGCCGGGGCCCGACCCCCGGCCGCCACGGCCGCCCATTTCCAACACGTTCTTGGCCCGCCTTTTCGATTGGATGGAGTGGGACATGTGCGTATACGTGGGGACAAGGTCGAAGTGAAACGGCCTCGCCCCAACCGCGGGCTGCCGTGCCCGGGCAGCCGCCAAGTTCCCCCCCCCTGTGGATGCGTTTGGGGGCGCCTGTCGGACGGGGCTAGGACGAGGACATATCCGTTCCAGAGCGTTCCGGGAAGCTTTGAGAGCGTTCCGGAGCGCTCTGAGAAGGCCGCGGCGCCTGAGACATCTTCCACATCCGCCGGATCTCAGAGATTCTCGACCTATCCTTGCCACAGTTTTTCCTAGTCCTAGCTTCGTCTTAGCCTGGGCCCTGACTGGAACTTGAAACATGTAACTCATATCGAAACATGCAGATCACAGCGGGCCACCATACAGGGGCATTTGTTCTGATGTGCGGGCGCGCCCTCATTGAGGCATCACGTAATCACTTGGCTCGCGCGTCGCCGTGGCATCCAGGATCTCACGCCTCCATCGGTCGCATCATCAGCATCCGTTATGATCCTTGTCCTTTATTGATGTATTTCCTCTTCTCATCATGTCCAGCCTCGTCTCCTCTCCTCGCAGAACAGCGAAGGGGAGGATGGTACGTCTTCCGATTCCGTCCGGTCCTCCTCTTCATCCTCTCATCTCTTTCCCGCGTCATCTTCATCCTTTCTTTTCTGAATGGTTCTCGTTTGGCGGATAGTAGGAGAATGGGGAGATGATCGAATGCCAGATGTGACGCCATCGCATCTAGCTTGCCTCCTCGTCATTGTCCTCATTCGCCATTTTTCCGCGTCGCACTCTGATCCCGATGCGGTTCCGTTTCGTGTTGCGCGTCGCGGCCAGGGGGTGCGGTGCGCAGACAGGGCTGGAGAGAGAGAGAGAGAGAGATCATGAAGACAGAGGGATATATACATATATATACATATAAATATTCAGAGAGAGAGAGAGAGAGAGAGAAAAAAAAAAAAAGAGCAGACAGAGAAACATACAAAGACAGAGACAGAGACAGAGCGAAACAGATGGAGGGCGCGCTTCCCTCTCCTCCTCCCCTCGTCGCCGCCGTCATCCTCTTCCCCACCGCTCCTCCTCGCCCGCCGCCGCCCCGCCGAGTCCAGCGTGTCGATGACCGCGGCCACGTCGGAGGCGGGTTCCCATCCCCCCCCCTTCGGCTCCGTGCCTGCTCCGGCGAACAGATCACGACCTGCGGTCGGGAGTTTTCGGATGGCCTTCATGCTCTTCTTCCCTCTCTTCCTTTCCTGCTCCTCCTCTTCCTCGTCCTGGACCCTCCTCCTCCTGCTCCGACTGCCCGAGCTCCCAACCGGCATCCCGATTTCACTCCGATGCGGTCGGGAGCAATTTCGGCTCAGCGTGTCGCTCCACAGGCTCCGGACCACCAGGCTTCGGCGCGGCACGTTATCCATGTCCTGGTCCCCGAGCGTCAGCGTCCCGAGCCCTTCGCAGCCTGCCTCCCCGCGGAGCGCAGCGAGAGGAGGAGGAGGAGGAGGAGGAGGAGGAGGCGGAGGCGGAGGACGAGGAGGAGGAGGAGGAGGAGAAAGACGAGGAGGAGGAGGAGGAGGTGGAGGAGGAGGAGGAGGAAGGGTAGAATAACATGAACAACACATCTTAATAGTAATCGTAAAAGGAATGCGAATTCTAATATTTATAATAACAACAACAGTAATAATACGCATACTACTACTACTACTACTACTACTACTACTACTACTACTACTACTGTTACTACTGTTACTACTGTTACTACTGTTACTACTGTTACTACTACTACTACTACTACTACTACTACTACTACTACTACTACTACTACTACTACTACTACTACTACTACTACTACTACTACTACTACTACTACTACTACTACTACTACTACTACTACTACTACTACTACTACTGCTACTACTACTACTACTACTACTACTACTACTACTACTACTACTACTACTACTACTACTACTACTACTACTACTACTACTACTACTACTACTACTACTACTACTACTACTACTACTACTACTACTACTACTACTACTACTACTACTACTACTACTACTACTACTACTACTACTACTACTACTACTACTACTACTACTACTACTACTACTACTACTACTACTACTACTACTACTACTACTACTACTACTACTACTACTACTACTACTACTACTACTACTACTACTATTACGACTACTACTACTAATAATAATATATTAATAATAATGATAATACTAATAATAATAACAACACTAATAATAATAATAATAATAATAATAATAATAATAATAATGATACTCATATTGATACCAATTATTATTAATCGCTTCGCTCATTCCGCCGGCCCATATTGTCGCACCGTTGTGGGCTAGCCGAGTTTTGGGGCCTCGTGGGGGCCGTTTTGGGGCCTCTTGGGGCCTCTTTTGGGCCTCTTGGGCGCCTCTTGGGGCGTCTTGGGGGCCTCTTGGGGGCCTCTTGGGGCCTTTTTGGGGCCTCCTGGGCGCCTTCTGGGGCGGAGGGCTCGATTTTTCAGTTCTCGGTTCCCCTCTTCAGCCCCTCTTGGGCCCGTCTTGGGGCCTCTTGGTCCGTCTTGGGCGGCACTTGGGCCGTCTTGGGGGCCCTCCTGGGCCGTTCCGGGGCCGTCTTGGGAGCCTCGTGGGCCGTCTTGGAGCGGTCTTGGGGGCCTCTTGGGCCGTCTTGGAGCGTCCGGAAGCCGAAAAAGCCAGAACGCAAAAAACATCGAAAAAACAATGAAAATCAACGATTTTGGCCTCTTGGGGCCCTCTTCGGAGGCCTCTTGGAAGGCCCTTGGGGCGTCTTGGAGGCCTCTTGGGCTGTCTTGGGGCCCTGTTGGGCGTCTTCGGGCGATCTTTGGCCGTCTCGGGGCCCTCTTGGACCGTCTTGGAGGCTTCTTGGGGACCTCTTGGCCCGTCCTGGGGCCCTGTAACAGAACTCCGGCATCTCTGGCCCGACCTTGCCGGGACCTTGCCGGGGTACTTTTCGTCCGGGGACCCCCAGGGGCCGCCCCGCGCGCGCGAACTAGAAATACTGTTAACCAGGTACCGGAGATCTTAGCACGCCCTGGCCCGTTGGGCCGGCGAATTATACTAATAATCTACAGAAGACAGACAAGATTAAGAAGGAGGAGGAGGAGAAAGGGAGGCTGGAACGGTGGTATTAGAAGGGCGGGGGGGGAGGCGGCGGCCCCGTTCTCAGGTAATGGCATCAATAGGCCCCGGCCGGCAGAGCCCTATACCCCCTGGGAGTGGCCGCTGGCCGCCCCCAGGGGGAGGGGCGGCAGATGTGTCTGCCGGCTCCCGAGCAAGGTGCGCCAGCCGCGGGACCCGCGCGGGCCGCCCGCAGGTGGTGGAGGAGGAGGAGGAGGAGGACGGAGGGAGGGAGGAAGGGGGAGGGGGAGGAGGAAGAGGAGGAGGAGGAGAAAGAGGAGGAGGAGGAGGAAGAGGAGGAGGAGGAGGAGGAGGAGGGGGATGAGGAGGAGGAGTAGGAGGAAGAGGAGGAAGAGGACGGAGGAGGAGGAGAAAGAGTACGGAGGAGGGCTTGAGCATGGAGAAGCGCGCTCGTCGCTCGAGGCTCGTGGGCAGGGCCGGGGCAAGAGGCGCTTGGGGCACCGTCGGCCGCAGGTGGTGTCCTCCTTCAGCAACGCGCTGAGCGCGGTGGTCGGAGGCCCTTGCCTGGCCACGCCTGCCGCTCGAGGGAAGGAGCACGAGAACGATGACGCCCTGGCGTCGCGACCAACATCACGACAAGAGTTTTTGTCCAATCATCCTGAGGTGTTTAGGTCCTCGTTTCGAAGAGACAGCGCCCCGCGTCTCCTTCCTTCATCTTCTCTCCTCCTTCTCCTCCTCCTCCTCCTCCTCCTCCTCCTCCCCTTTCATCCTTCCTCCTTAGCGCCCAGTACAGCGCTTCGTGGCCCCATAGAGAGCTCCACAGGAGGTCCAAGTGTCGCAGCCCGCATGCGTCTCCCCCGCCCGGTACAGCGCTTCGTGACCCCATAGTAGGGCGCTCAGCCGAAGGTCCCAGTGGCGCAGCCCGAGCTTGTCTCCCACACCCAGCACAGCGCTTCGTGGCCCCATAGAGAGCCCCACCGAAGATCCAAGTGGGGCGGTCCGCATGCGTCTCCCCCACCCAGTACAGCGTTTAGCGGCCCCGAAGGTCCCAGTGGCGCAGCCCGCATGCGTATCCGACACCCAGGACAGCGCTTCGTGGCCCCAGTGGGAGCCCCACCGAAGGTCCAAGTGGCGCAGACTGCGTGCGTCTCCCAAACCAAGTACAGCGTGTCATGGCCCCATGGGGAGCTCAACCGAAGGTTCCAGTGGCGCAGCCCGCATGCGTCTCCCGCATCAAGTACAGCGTTTCGTGGCCCCATAGGGAGCTCCACCGAAGGTCCCAGTGGCGCAGCCCGCACGCGTCTCCCACACCCAACACAGCGTTGCGTAGTCCCACAGGGAGCTCCACCGAAGGTTCCAGTGGCGCAGCCCGCATGCGTCTCCCCCACCCAGTGCAACGCTTCCTGGCCCCATAGGGAGCCCCACAGAGGGTCCAAGTGGCGCAGACTGCGTGCGCCTCCCCCGCCCAGTACAATGTTGCGTGGCCCCATAGGGAGCTCCACCGAAGGTTCCAGTGGCGCAGTCCGCATGCGTCTCCTTCACCCAGTGCAACGCCTCGTGGCCCCATAGGGAGTTCCACAGAAGGCCCCAGTGGCGCAGCCCGCATGCGTATCCCCCGCCCAGTACAACGGTTCGTGGCCCCATTCGGAGCTCCACCGAAGGTCCCAATGTCGCTTCCCGCGTGCGCCCCCCCCACCCAGAACAGCGATTCGTGGCTCCGTAGGGAACTCCACCGACGGTCCCAGTGGCGCAGCCCGCATGCGTCTCCCCCACAGAGTACAACGCTTCGTGGTCCCATAGGGAGCTCCACCGAAGGTCCCAGTGTCCCCCAGTACGGCGTTTCGTGGCCGTATAAGGGGATTTCACCGAAGACGATACCTAGAATTGCGGTGTTCACAACTGCACATGGTTGGGTCTTTCGCCAGGCTAAGTTTTATATTTCAGCCTCTTGGGGCCCTCACCAGGAGGGGCCCTCACCAGGACCCGGGACCGTCGAGAAACAGCTTCTGATGACAAGCAGGCGGTCCAGGGGAATGGGTCGAGACATCTTGGGATCGACGTTATGATTCTTTTGAAGCAAAATTCAAGACGTCGGGGGTCAGGTGGTGAATCACGACGACCACGACGGGCTGCTACACCCATGCAAATCCAGATGCTTTGTTCAGGGCGGCTCCTGTGGCGGCAAGGTCCCTCGGGGGTGAGTTCCCTGTTCTGGAACCCAGGTGCCGAAGCCGCCGAGGGTTGGGGGGGCCTTTTCCAAGAAGAGTCTCCCAGGCACGGATCATTTCTCGGGCCCTGCCCATATCCGTCTGCGCCCGTTGGGTTCCGAGCTGCTTGGGCACCGCTGCCTCGGGGTATCGGGGGCTCTAGCCTCACTCTGCCGGCGCGGCAGGGATCAGATTACGTATCTGTATCTGGCTTCCGCCGCCCCCAGGGCCCCCTTCGAGGAGCCCGGCCACCGCTCGCTCTGTGAGCGTCCTGCGGCGTCATGGCCCACGCGGGAGATGTCGCGGGACCTTGTCGACGCCGACCTGGATCTTGGTTTCGTGCTGCCCGCTGCCAATTCGCGACAGTGGTCCACGAAGTCACGGTGACCGAGGTGGGCCGTGGCCAGTACCGACACCGACGTCTCCGTGTTCAGTCCTGGCCATGGCCCCGTCTGCCCCTCCAGCCGCGCCTCCTGGCTGCGGTGCCCCAGGCCCCGCCTCGCCGTCGCGGCCAAAATCACGGCTGGAGGTCCGTTGGCCGTTCTGGGCGCCTGCTGTCGCGAGAGGAGAGCCACGGCGCGGGAGGTTTTTCGCCGCGCTCGGGCTCTGGGGGCCAGCGCGGGGAGCCATGGCCGAGACACAGCTGCCCGGGCTGAGCAATTGCCCCAGGAGTCCAGACCTCAGGGGGTCAGGGGCAGCGACAGGGGGGGGGATAGGCATAGGGGAAGATGGATCGACCCCGAATCGCACCTTGACCGCCGATCGGGGCCCGAGAGCCCCCACACCGCCCAGGACCGTGCGGAGTTGCTGTCGGTGCCATATCGCCGATCTATCGGCGATATGTCGCCGATTCCAGGTCGATGTTTCCTCCCCCATGCCAGTCCCCCCCTATCGTCGCCCCTCAGGGGATCATACGTCTGGGTAAGACCCGCCCTGTTCAACCTCTTCTTCCTCCGGGGGAAGGCCCGGAAAAGCAGGAGCGGGCTCGGAGGAGGATGAGGGATTGAGGATGGTCTTCGGTGTTTTCGGCGGCGTGCAGAAAGTGTTTTGCGCGAAGGAGTGCCCTTCTAAAAATGGAGGGGGCTCCTGTGAGGCCAGCCCGCCTTCTGAGAAGGCCTTCCTCAAATAATTAGAAAGTTCGTAAGCATACACTTCGGAGATCCGCGAGGATTTGCTGAGTCGGCGCTGGACACCCCTGGCGTCGCCTCCGACGCCGCCCCTGACGCGATCCCCGTGCCGAAGGGGTCCAGCGCCGACCAAGAGAATCCGCGCGAACCTCCTAAAGGGTATGTCGCAGGTGAGGGGGTGAGATCGAAGTGGAACGGAGTGCCCCCCTAACCGGGAAATCGGTTTCGGTTTCGTGTTCGTGCGTGCCGTGCGTGCAGGCGAGGCGAAGCTGCGTTGGCGGAAGTGTCCCGCCTCTGGCTGAGGCGCGGCCGGACCAAACGTTTTCTGTCAGGGGGCTGCTTGCGCGCGGTGTCCCGCCGGTGTCCCGTCGGTGTCCCGATGATGATGATGATGATGATGATGATGATGATGATGATGATGATGATGATGATGATGATGATGATGATGATGATGATGATGCTGATGCTGATGCTGATGCTGATGCTGATGCTGATGCTGATGCTGATGCTGATGCTGATGCTGATGATGATGATGATGATGATGACGATGACGATGACGATGACGATGATGGTGATGATGATGATGATGGTGATGATGATGATGGCCATGGTGGTGATGATCATGGTGTTCCGATGGTGATGGTGATGATGTTGATGATGCTGATGTTGCTGGTGATGATAGTGTCCCCATGATGATGATGCTTGTAATCCTGATGCTGTTGATGATGATGATGATGATGAGATGGTGATGGTGAAGATGGTGATGATGGTATCCCGATGCTGATGAGGTTGATGATGCTGTTGATGATGATGGCGGTGATGATGGTGTCCCGATGATGATGATGCTGATGATGATGACGATGATGGTGTCCCGATGATGATGATGATGATGATGATGATGATGATGATGATGATGATGATGATGATGATGAGGTGATGATGATTTTGATGACGGTGGCCCGATGATGGTGATGGTGATGGTGATGATGATGGTGTCCAGATGATGATGGTGATGGTGATGATGATGGTGACGATGATGATGGTGTCCCGATGATGCTGATGTTGATGATGACGATGTTGCTGATGGTGATGATGATTTGTCCCGGTGATGATGATGTTGATGATGTTGCTGATGATGCCCCGATGAGATGATGATGATGATGGTGGCTTTCCGATGATGATGGTGCCCAAAGGATGGTGATGATGGTGACGATGACTGTGCACCAATGATGATGGTGATGGTGATGATGATGATGCTGGCCATGGTGGTGATGATGATGGTGCCCCGATGATGATGATGTTGATGATGATGATGTTGATGATGATGGTGATACATTGTGATGGTGATGATGGTGCCCCGATGATGATGAGGATGTTGATGATGATGATGACGATGGTGGTGTCCCGATGGTTAGCATGATGTTGGTGATGATGATGTGATGGTGATAATGTTGATGATGGTGGCCCGATGATATTATGCTGATGTTGATGATGATGATGGTGTCCCGATGATGATGATGATGATGATGATGATGATAATGCTGGTGACGATGTTGATGGTGTCCCGATGATGATGATGTTGACGATGATGATGCTGCTGGTGATGATGGTGTCCCGATGCTGATGATGTTGATGATGTTGTTCATGATGATGATGATGATGGTGTTGATGATGATGATGATGCCGAGCAATTATCGCAAGTTGCCGAGCAATTATCGCCCCATTTCGATCCTTCAGATTCTGTACAAACTGTTCAGCATGGTATTACACGGAAGATTGTTGGCATACCTTACAGAAGAGCAATCGGTGGACCAAGCTGGATTCCGGAAAGGATACAGTTGCGACGACCACCTACTAACGTTAGTTCTGCTGCACGAAAAAATGTATGAACACAATATTGCTCTCTGGGTGGCAGCTGTGGATTTCGAGAAGGCGTTCGATTCCGTCAGTCACACGTCACTGTGGGCGTCCCTGAGCGAGCAAGGCGTCCCTGCTTCGTATATCAGTGTTTTGCGCAGGCTGTACGAGGGGCAGACAGGGCAGATCTTGTCAGACCGCGCGAGTCGAGTTTTCACTTTGGAAAGGGGGACAAAACAAGGTGATCCGATGAGCCCTACTTTGTTTAACGCTTTGCTGGAGTCGATTATGCGCGACCTCAAACAGAAGTGGGATAAGAAAGGCTTCGGGGTGAGAGTAGGAGGCAAACGTCTCACGAATCTCCGGTTCGCAGATGATATCATGCTGATTGGAGCTACGCGGGCGCAGGTTCGGCACATGTTGGAATACTTGTCAGTTCGCGCTGGCGAAGCTGGGCTGACGCTGCATATGGGCAAAACCAAAATTTTGTCGAATGTTGTTGACCGGAGAGGGGTCCTTGCGCAATCGCACGTGCCAGTCGGGGCTGGCAGGGTGGAAGTGCTCCCAGTGGGCGGAAATGTGTCTTATCTCGGGCGCAAGCTTTGCTTCCAGGATCTCCATGACGTGGAAATACAGAGCCGCATTGCCAAGGGATGGGGGGCCTTCGGCAAGTTCAAAGCAGTGCTGTGTAATAAGCATTACCTTTTGCGTTCTCGTTTTCGCCTGTTCGATGCCGTGGTCACATCAACCGTTCTCTACGGTAGTGGGACGTGGACTATGACGGCGGCGAGGGAGACAAAGCTACAGACAAAATTGCGCAAGATGCTTCGGAAAGTTGTTGCAACGCCACCGCTGAAAGCAGTTTCTGAAGGCGGCACGGACGAGCCGTACGTGGAGTGGATCAGCCGGGCGACTAAGAAAGCAGTGGGCGAGTACGAGAAAGCCGGTTTTCATAATTGGGTACAATTGCAGAAACGTCGAAAAGCTGCTTTGCTGCAGAAGATCGTCGGCAGCACCGATGGCAGGTGGTCGAAAGCAGCGGTGGACTGGACGCCGGTGGGGCGCAGGGCGCCAGACCGTCCGCTGAAGCGATGGACGGACGATGTCGTCATCTACAGTTAGGGAATCTGTTGCATTCAATAACTTTGGTTCTGCGAGAAGCCTTTTTTCCGGCAGCCCGAGCAGGGCGCGCTCCGGCGCACGCCGGTGGACCTCTAGGACCTCTGATGATGATGATGATGATGGCGATTGTGGTTTTCCGATGGTGATGATGATGGCGTCCCGATGTTGATGATGTTGATGATGATGGTGGCAAGTATGTTGCCCCGATGATGATGGTGATGATGATGATGATGATTGTGATGAGGTCATGATGGTGATGGTGCCCCAGTGATGATGATGATGGTGATGATGATGATGATGATGATGTTGATGACGTTGATGACCATGATGCTGTTGATGATGTGATGATGACGAATATGACGTTCAGTGTGAGATCGATTGTGATATCGAGAATGAGATCGATAGTGAGACCGAATGTGAGATAGGTTGTGATATCGATAGTGATATCGATAGTGAGATCGATTGTGCGATCGATCGTCAGATCGATCGTGAGATCGATCGAATGATATAGATCCACTGACATCGATTGTGAGATCGATCGAGTGAGATCGATCGAGCGAGACCGATAGTGAGATCGATGGTGAGATCGATAGTGAGACCGATCGAGTGAGACGTTGGTTCTCCCCCCCCCCCCCCCGCACCTCCTGATCACCCGAAGGGTGGTCGTATAGGTACGTAGTTGCTGCTATATTCAACGGGGGCTTCTTGGGAGACTCCCGAACCCTCCTGAGAAGGCCCCTGTCTTCTCAGAAGGGCTCGCCAGTTTCCTTGCTGTTGCCCGCCCGTTCTCTGATTGTCTCTGTTTCCTGCCGAGGCGGATTCGCGCACTGTCTGATGAACGCGTCGCCCTGGCTTGTCTGTGATTCAACATTCTTCGTCGCTGCACGGTAATCACCAAATAAATGACCGGATGCCCTGGGTAAAACTACCCCAAGTCACCGTTGCTGATGTCCTGTAACCAAGACATTTTTGGTCGGCGATGGGGGGCGGCGAGGCCGAATTGTTTTATCCACCAGGCCACGTACCAATCGTAGTTGCGATCTTCTTCTCATGAGTGGCAGGATTTGCGTTATCATCATTATGATGGTTATCCGTATCACTCCTACTACTGATAGTCCAATTCATAATGTTCCCAACTTGTTAATGTCATTACACTCGTTGCCCCGCGGGGTAGTGCATGTTAACCCCCCCCCGACCCCCCACTCCCCGTAACGGCAATGCTTGAAAAACTGGGCGCGGGAGGGATCCCGCCGCCCAAGGACCTCGATTTTGACGTCCGAAGTCCACGTCCCTGAGCGGCGGGGGGCCCGCGGGAGGGGGCCTTCAGCAGCCCCGAGCTTTCCCCCGTATGCGCGCCCACCATCTCCCAGGAACGTAGGTTTCGAGCGTTCTGGCACTGGGGGGGGGCCGAGATCGAGGTTCCGGGGTGGCGGCGCGCCCTGCGGCCTCGGCCGAGCTTCTGCGGGCGCACCATTGCCTGGGGAGACTTCGGGTGATCCGGCGCCGGGGGAGACCCAAATCGACGTCCCTGGGCGAGCAGGGTCTGATTCTGCCCTGCTGTTTCTCAGGTCTCGTGCTCCTCCCACCCCCCCCAGGGTGGCCCCGCCAGAGCGAGCAGGGTATTGCGATACCCAATACTTCTCAGGTTTCGTGCTGCTCCCACCCCTCCAGAGAGGCCCTGCCCAAGCGCGGTTGGTGAGGGTGCCCCCGTGTGGGCCCGCCAGTACATCCGTGCATCCGTACACCGTACATCAGTACTTCCGATATGATTATGACACTCTGTGCATCCGTGAACTCTCAAGGAATCCTTCTGCTGCGACATGCGGGGGAAAAATGTCTTACCCCCCGGAGCCCGAACTTTGTTTTCCCTAGGGGATGATTCCCAGGGGTGTTCGGTCAGGCGCATGTGCCCCCAATAGAGCTCTCTCGCGACAGCCTGACTGAAACGGCGGCGGCATCCGTGGGACCGCGGAGGGTGAGTTTGGTGTTTTCGCAGGTGTTCGAAGGTTGATTGTAGTGCTCAGTGCTCGGGCGATGGGGAGCAGAGGGATATGTAGAGGAGATTGGAGGAGGCTTCTGGCGGATCTTCGCAGGTGTGAGGGCGGCCTGGGGCCTAGCAAGATGCAGGACGCGAGCGGAGGGTCAAGAGAGACACCGGTGCCGCTGCTCCCCGGACCCCTCCCTGGGAGTCGTTCCAAGAAGCATGCCGGGGCGCATCCAGTCGTAGCGACGAGGGCCGCCTGGGAGGCCCAAGCAGGCAACACGGGAGAAGGAGCTCGGCATCGGTGTTCTCCAGCCCGTCCACAAATCCGCGGGGGAGAAGTCCAGAACCCCTTCACAAGGGTTGGCTCTCCATCCATCCCGAGTCATCTTTTGATGACTCCCCCTGGGGCCACTTCAGCAAGAACAAAGGAGCAAAAGCAAGCACATTTTCTTCTTGGAGGTTGGAGGTCGTCTTCGTCTTGGATCGTTGCCGATCTTAACTGTTGTCAAGACGTTGAAGGCCTCTGGGCCCTGAGACCAGAGTTCGCGAGAAACGCAACATGGTGTAACATTCAGATGGGAGCTCCACAGACCCTGTATGTCTGCAGCATCTTCCGCAAAGAGCGCCCGGCGTGAACAAAGATGCAACGCCCAGATCTCAGGGCTTGTTGCTCCTGACCTGCTCCAGACGCCACAGGTCCAGGGAGGAGGGTCGGCATCACTCACACATACTATCGCTATATGTGCATCGTCCCCCCCCGTGAGCCGACGCACGCGCTCGTACATCTTACAGTCTGTGCTCTACGGCGGGCGCTTTCTGGCCACACCGCCTTGGCAGCGACGTGCTATACCATGCTTGTGCTACCTGCTCGGTTCGAACGTGCGCCGGCAAGGGGGCGTATAGTACTACAGTCAACACGCACAGTAAGGATGGGCAACCTTCTTATAGGTACCCTTGCATCCTTGCCTCCTCGGTCTATCCTTCGCCGCTTTAACTGGCCGCGGCCCGCTCGAAAAGCTTCGAAATGGGCGTCCAAGGCCCTTGCATCCTTATCGCGCATCCTTACTATACTGGCTGACTGTAGTATGTCTTTTTGCGCCCCAGAGGAGTCAAGTAGTGGCAGAGGTTCCTGACTTGGCTATAGGCCCGCCGGTGACTGTCCTAAGAGCCTTGTGTGCTGAGAGAGTTTTGCCCTAAGCAACCAGGTCTATGTTCTAAGAGCGCTGCTTCTGCTCTTACAGGGCTCCCTTGTTATTCGAACCCGTCGTGGTAGGCCTACAGGGCTGCTTCTGCTCTTTACAAGGCTGTGCATGAGGGTTGGGACGGTCGGTCCATGCTCAGAGGTTGTCTCACCCAGTCCAGGCAGCGCTACAGAGACGTCGGCCGACGACAGCGCGGCGACCACGGCCGCCACGACGATGGACCCCGACGTGGCGCTGCAGGCGCCGTCCGGTGGGCAGCCGCGCGCCGCTCGCCCGAGGCCAGGCTGTGCGGCCAGTAGCCCACGCCGCCGTCGACCTCGAGCGATCTCAAAGACCGCCCGACCCGTCTGATCGAAAGATCAAAGATCGATCGACTGTAGCTTTGCCAGCGGCGATCGATCGAAGATGGCTCGATCGATGGATCTTCGATCGCCACTCGTCCTCCATCGGAGATCGATCTGTCCCGGCTCGGGCATCGTCCAGTCGGAGGTTGACCGGGCGCCTGCTCTGCCATCTCGATGAGGTATGGCCCGTTGTCGGTTTTTCTCGGGGCGTTTCGGTCGCAGCGTTTCGTCTTTAACCTTCAGTCGGGCCTGTCCCTCTATAGGAGGAATATCAACAAATAGTGAAAAAGTAGTCTGGGGACGATGTTTTGACTATTTTTAGCGTTTGGGGGGTATTGTTGGGACTATGTTTTATTTGTCGTCCAAAATCGGCCTGTAGTGGAACAGGCCCGACCTAACTTTTGTAACCCTTCTTCACGGACATGATGAAGGCGACGGCCGACCGCAGATGCTGTTCGTTCTGAGCAGCGCCCGTTGACGGTGTCGGCTCGGGCGCGGTCCACCTGAGGCGACGGATCGCCATTCCCCAGGACCGGTGTTTCGTCCCGAGTCGTTTTTCGACGGTCCCGGGGCCCGGCAAGGGCTCCAACATGCAGAAAACAGCAACAAAAATTCCCGTCGTGATTGTTTCGAAGCGCGAGGGGTTCTGGGTGAGACGAGCGACGGCTCCGACGTCGACGCCGACGCCGGCGCGCGCGCGCGCAGCACTGGCCTGCGCAGGGGGCCCGCCTCGTGCGTTCAGGAAGGGAGAGAACACACACACACACACACGCACGCACGCACGCACGCACGCACGCACGCACACACACACACACACACACACACACACACACACGCACACGCATACACACACACACACGCACACGCACACACGCACACAGTCACACACACGCACGCACGCACGCACGCACGCACGCACGCACGCACGCACGCACGCACACACACACACACACACACACACGCACGCAAACTCGCACACGCACACGCACACGCACTCACACACAACTAGCCAGCGATTCCTTTGAAATATGGGAACGTCTGGACAGTGGGGGGGAGGACGAAGCTCCAGAAAACAGGGGGAAAGCATACGAGGGGAATCCTGGAACATGTTCGTCGTTTCCCTTGCAAGTATGTGAACATCTGGACAGTGGGGGGGAGGACGAAATTCCAGAAAACAGGAGAAAACATCTGTGGGGACTCCTGGGATCTAATCGTCCATTCCCTGGAGCATATGGGAGCATTTGGACAGTGGGGGGGAGGACGAAACTCCAGTAAGATGTGGGAAAACACATATGTGGGGAACATGCTGGAGAATAATCGTCGATTCCCTGGAACATATGGAAATCTCTGTACAGTGGGGGGGAGGACGAAAGTCCGGTAAGATGTGGGAAAACAAACCTGTGGGGAAAATGCTGGAAAATGGTGGTCGATTCCCCTGGAACATATGGGAACCTCTGGACAGTGGGGGGGGAGGACGAAATTCCAGTAACCTGTGGGAAAGCATACACATTTTGTTCATTTCTAATTTTTCGAAAGTTCTTTGAATTTCTGGGGGCCAAGATCCTTTCATTCCTGACTGTTCTATCCCAGGCCTCTTCCTGGCCACTAGGGGGCCAGGAACAACTAGAAGCGAGCACGATTCGAAGCGAGCACGGTCAGAAATGAACGACGCGTAGATCTGGGGGGGAAATCCTGGGGTCTGCGTACCTTTCTTTGTGTGCCCCCCTGGGGCGCCTCGCGCCGCGCAGGCCTCGCAGCTGCTGCTGACCGTCGCGGGCGCCTCTGGGTCCCTCGCGGAGAGCATGGACGTGGGGACGGCCCGCCCCTCGGAGGGAACTCCGGGGCCACGTCTGCCTCGGGCCTCCCCCCCTTGCAGGCGGATTTGGGGCGAGCTTTTCTGTTTTTATAAGAGAAAACAAAACATGGCCAACAACCTGTCAACACATCTCGCCAGACTTTTTTGTTGACTTTGTTTGAACATTCCTCCTGTAGAGGGACGTGCCCGACTATGTCTGAACATTCCTCCTGTAGAGGGACGTGCCCGACTTGAGGCAACGGTTGGATCGGGCGCGTCCCCCCTGCAGGAGGAATGGTCAAGAGCGGTCAATCTATAGTCTGGTGACGATGGGATGGGTCGCGATCTTCTGACTCTTCCTGCCTTTTTTTTGGACTCTGTTGTTGAGTTTTTCTTCCAAGCTCCGCCTGTAGGAGGGCATGCCCGACCTAAGATCAGGGGCGGCGTTTGGAGGGGGGACGGACTCAGGGGGGGACGCTTTGGATTCAAGGTCCCCAAACACCCCTCGTGTTGTGGAAAAATCAGGTCGGGAGGATCTTCTTCCTTTCCGGGCGATCACAAACATGGATCAAGGGGGCGCGGATCAGCGACGGGTCCCGTTTCCATGGGCAATCGCGGATTTCCGCCGCCGAGCGAGGCGGCACTGGCCGTCTTTTGGGGAGGGCACATCCCCCGATCCGTGGATTTGGCGACCGCGCGCCAAATCCATGGATCGCTAATCCATGTTTTCGCGCCCCCGATCTTTTCGGCCTGGAAGAACCCTTGTCGCGCCCCGGGCCGTCGAAAAACGACTCGAGACGAAAAACCGGTTCCAGGGGAAGAGGTCCAGACCCCTAGGGGGTCGACGTCACGACGTCGGGGGTCTGGCTTTTGGAACCGAGGTTTGAGGTATTCGAGCGTGTTCGTTGGCTCTGGGCGGTTTTCCCGCCTCAGGGTACCTTCCCTCCAGCTGCGCCCCGCCGAGAGCGTTTCGGGGCGTGCCGGTCGTCCCGAACGGCTGCCCGAGGCCGGAGTCATGGCCCACAAACCGGAGCCCAAGTCAGGGGCAACCAACGTTGGGGGACGAGGAGGAGGAGGAGGAGGAGGAGGAGGAGGAGGAGGAGGAGGAGAGCCCCCGTGGCTCAGGCGTCTGCCTGAGGAGGGGCTATTCTCTTGCACTTGCGAGCCGCTGTTTCTCCCCTTGCCCCCCGCGCCGCCATGGTCTCAGCAGCCAGGCTCCGTTGGATCATCCAGGAGCTAGCGAATGGCCGCCAAGGCCCTGTCAAACTGTGCAGCCACAGCGACAAGCTCATCATGCAGATCTGCCTGTTCCCCGTCTGGGAGCCGACTATGCAGAACAGCCTCATGATAAGTTTGCTCCACATGGTGCAGCTGGACATGGACAGCGCTATCATCGTGGACCACGGGCACCATAACTCCAAAGGCGAGTCCCACATCCGTCTTGTCGTGAAGCCCCTTCCGGTTTTCTTCGAGGGCTTCTCTGGTACGCCGCCGGCCATGCGTTCTGCGGTGGAGGAGGGCTCCGAGCGCCAGACGCACGCCGAGTCCATCGGGCCAGTCCTGGCGCACGAGAAGGGGGAGTCGTCCAGCGAGCAGCTGTCTGTTGCAGGTGGCGCGACTGGTTCGGGCTCTGTGGCGATGGAGAGCAAACCCTGTGCGAAGGCAGAGACTGATATTGATGCGGTGAGGCCTCAGCGGCACGGAAAGGTCACTGCTCCTCAGCAGCACAGCGAGAAGCACACATTCGCTCCAGGCATGGCCGCGCGCCTTGATGGCCTCGAGGCTAGGCCGCTGCTAAATGGTCGTGAAGGCACCATGAGCTTCTCCGACGACGCTGCTGACCGCTGGGCTTTCAAGACTGGTGCGGAGGCCATTCGTGTCAAGGCGCCGTGTCTTGAGCCTATCGGCTCCCATACGAAAAAGTCTCTCGGCATGGCGTTCCAAGCGGCCGCCTTCGAGAATCAACGTTTGGGCCCAGTTGCGAACGACCAGGTGTTCCAGCTGTTGTGCGACCTTGCTGCTCGAGAAGGGCAGCCTGGGGTGGCCGCTTTCTTCTTGCCTTTATTCAGCGACAAGACAGCCTTCGACAAGATGCACTGCCACATGGCCGCCAGGAGTCCTGAGGTCGCCTACCAGTGAGTGGCGCTTAGCTGCATTCTTGGCGTGCCCAGTGCATCCATTCTTGTGCCCTCATGCGCCATTCCTTGCGCCCCACGTCGTCCGTTGGGTTGCGCTTCTCGTCATGGCTGCTTGCGCCCCCATGTATGTTGGGGTTGCGCTTCCCGTCAAGGGTTCTCGTTTAATGTGCTACTCGATCCTTCGGGCGAGTGCAGCGTTGCCAGGTTCTTGCGGGCGAGATTCGGCTGCGTCTCTCGTGCACGTGTGGACACCACAGACGTTCGTCTCCTAGGGCTGTAGGAAGAAGAAGGAGGAGGAGGAGGAGGAGGAGGAGGAGGGGGAGGGGGAGGGGGGGAGGGGGGAGGGAGGAGGAGGAGGAGGAGGAGGAGGAGGAGGAGGAGGGTGAGGAGGAGGGAGAAAAGGAGGGGAGGGGGGAGGGGGAGGGGGAGGAGGAGGAGGGAGGAGGGAGGAGGAGGAGGAGGAGGGGAGGAGGAGGAGGAGGAGGGGGAGGGGAGGGGGGAGGGGAGGAGGAGGAGGAGGAGGAGGAGGAGGAGGAAGAGGGAGGAGGAGGAGGAGGAGGAGGGAGGAGGAGGAGGAGTAGGACAAGGAGGAAGAGGAGGGGGGGGGGAGCGGGAGGAGGAGGAGGAGGAGGAGCGCGTGTGGGGAGGGAGGAGCGCCCAGGGGGGGGAATCGTCGACCACCGCCAGCCCAGTCCTGGCCGGCAGGGGCCTGAGAGCCCGTCCGGCCAGGGAGCGAGCGGTTTCGCCCTCGGAGGCCTACCGCAGCTCTGTCGGCGATTCCAGCTCGGCGCTTCCTCCCCTGAGCGGGTCCCCCCTTCAAGCAGTGGCGAAGCGTCCTGGCTCGCCTAGAGGCCTACCAAGCCCTGTTCTAGGAACCGTTCTGTGGTGTCCACGAGATGTTCTTAGAACATGGCTGGCTGGGGCTGTCTTATGTTTACACATCGGGTTCATGTTCTAAGAACCTTGTTTTTGTTCTTAGAACATGTCTGGGTTGTGTGAACATGTCGTGGTGAGCCTATATAGGAAGGCCGGGACGGTCGGTCCCTGCTCAACCGCTATCATCCCCCCTTTCAGAGGAAGAAAATGTACCGACGGCGCTGCCCTTCAGTGACCCAGACCTCCCAAGTTCTGAAAGATGCAGCGCGGAAGGTTGCCGTTTTCGGCCTCTGGGGGCCGTCGCCGGGCCCCGGGACCGTCAAAAACTACTCGGGTTGAAAAGCCCGTCCCAGGGGATGGGTCCAGACCTCTGACTTCGCATCCGCCGTACGGTAGCTGATTTTCCGATTTAAGTCTATGTCGGAAATGCACCCCGAACGTTGCGAACAAGTACTTAGGGCGGAAATCTCCGCCTCAGAAAAGTCGGGCTGGCACTTCCGCAAGCGATGGTGGAGACAACGACGGCAAAGTAGGACGGACATCTACATCAAAGGAGCTTGAAAAGTAGAGCAGAAGTTTCCTCCCTGCTGGCGGCATTTCCTTAAGCACGGCGGATCTGAAGTCAGGGATGCCGCTAGCCTTAGTCGTCGCTTTGTGGTATCTCCTTGGAGGCCCTCGTCGCCACGGCCAGATTCGCATCGAAATGTTGGTCAGAACGTATTTGGGAAGATGTGCAGGGAGTAGCGGTGTAGGTGTCGGTGTCGGTTGGTTTCTCCAGCCCTGGCCCCGCGGCGAGTGCATCGCCGTCACTTCCCGTGATACCCTGGCGTCGCAATTTGCGCCCAGCCATCTTGTGGTGTTGGGTCCTCGTCTTGACAAGACAACACCCCGCATATGATTCATTCCTTCCCTCCCGCTGCCCTCCCCCCTTATCCCATCCATGCCTCTGCTCTCAGCATGTCAGCAATTTTGGCACACCCCTCACGCGCTGCGTGGCCCCGTAGGGAGCTCCACCGAAGGCCCCAGAGGGAGCGTTCGTATGTGGGCGTCACGCCAGTTTCGTCACACCCCTCACACGCTTCGTTGCCACATATGAGGCCCCACTGAAGGCCCCAAAGGAAGCGTTCGCATGTGAGCGTCGCGCCCGTTTCGGCTCACCCCCACGCGATTTGTGGCCCCATAAGCAGCTCCACCGAGAGCCCCAGAGGGAGCATTCGCATGTGGGCGTCACGTCATAGGGGGACTCTTCCGAAGTCTCCAGAGGGAGCGTTCGTATGTGGGCGTCGCACCCCTTTCGGCACACCCTCACACGCCTCGTGGCCCCATAGGGAGCTCCACCGAGAGCACCAGATGGAGCATTCGCATGTGGGCGTCACGTCAGTCGGAACACCCCTCACACGCTCCGTGGCTTGATAGGGAGCTGTGCCGATGGCTCCAGAGGGAGCGCTCGCATGTGGGCGTCGCACCCCTTTCAGCACACCCCTCACACGTCTCGTGGCCCCATCTGGAGCTCCACCGAGGGCCCCAGAGGGAGCGTTCGCAGTGGGTGCCCAGGCTGTTTCGGCACACCCCTCACGCGCTCCGCGGCCCCATAGAGAGCTACACCGAAGGCCCCAGCGGGAGCGTTTGTATGTGGGCGTCCAGCCTGTTTCGGCACACCTCTCACGCGCTGCGTGGCCCCATAGAGAGCTCCACCGAAGGCCCCAGAGGGAGCGTTCGTAAGTGGGCACCACGCCCGTTTCGGGACACCCCTCTCTCGCGTCGTGGCCCCACAGGGGACTCCACCGCAGGCCCCACTGGCACGGTCCGCATGTGGGCGTCACGCCCGTTTCGGAACAATTTTCACGTCTCCCTGACCCCATATGGAGCTCTACAGAATGCTCCAGAGGGAGCGCTCGCATGTGGGCGCCGCACCCATTTCGGCACACCCCTCACACACTTCGTGGCCCTAAAAGGAGCTCCACCGAAGGCCCCAGGAGGAGCATTCGCATGTGGGCGTCACGCCCGTTTCGGCACACCGCTCACACGCTTCGTGGCCCCGTAGGAATCTCCACTGAAGACACCACAGGGACCGCTCGCATGTGGGCGTCGCGCCCGTTTCGGCTCACCTCTCACGCGATTCGTGGCCCCACAGGGAGCTCAGCCGAAGGCCCCCAATGCACGGTCTGCATGCGCCCCCCCGAAATTTCGGCATGCTCCTCACCGCGCTTCGTGTCCCCATGGGGGAATCCACCGAAGACCATAGTCACAGCTGCGGTAATCCCAACTGCATATGGTGGAGTCCTTCGCCAGGTTAAGTCACCGATGCTGTATTTTTGTTCGGGACGTCGGATCTCCAGGTCCGCCGTCGTTTGCGTTGTCAGGGTCGTCGTCGCCTCCTCGCCCGCCACGCCTGCCCATAGGCGGCCCCTGAGGCGGCCTTTCTGCTGCTGGGTGATCTGTGGGCGACTGGGCCCATCCCCTGCGTCGCTGCCGCGTGGTGCCAAGGGGTTGCTCCCATATTACTTGGTTACTCCTCGCTCTTCCACGCTCAGCCCACCTCCTCCTACAGTCAACCCGCATAGTAAGGATAGGCAAACTTTCCGAGGGTACCCTTGCATCTTTGCCTCCTCGGTCCATCCTTGGCCAGTTTCGTTGGCCGCGTTGTGCTCAAAAAGCTTCGAAATGTCCCTCCAAAGCCCTTGCATCCTTATCCCGCATCCCTATCATCCTGGTTGACTGTATCACCTCCTTCCTCGTCCATCCGCCTCCTCCCTCCGCCCCGCCGCTCCCATCTCCTCGCGCCCCGTCCTCCCCACCCCTTCCGAATCCTCCCCCCTCCGCCTTCCTTCTTCTCCACCTCCCTCTTGCCTCCTCTCCTTCTCCCCTCTCCCCCGCCCTCCCCGGACACCCGACGTCGTATTTTTCACAACGTCGACCCCCAGAGGTCTCGTCCCCTGGACCGGTTCCTCCTCCCCAAAATGGTTGTTGTCGGTCCCTGGGCCGGACGAGGGCCCCCAGAGTCAAGAAATGTGACACATGTTCCTGGCGAAGGGCCCAAACATGTGCACTTGTGAGTACCAGCGT